TGACCGCTTTCCATTCTCTCCTGTTGTTGCTGCACTCTCCTCTTGGATCACAAAGCAGCTTGGTTCCCCTTAGAACTCCAGGGGCTGCAGTGTGGACAGATACAGTCCAAGTACAAAGCTATTTGTGTGTCACTAATTGTTAGAAATATTAACTTACTGTGGTGTAATAGAATGTTGTCTTAGAAGCGGATAAAGGGAAGACGGAAAAACAGAGCTGAAGAAAGAAGACTTGAACCTTTACACTGATTATGAACTGTTATATTTCACAGAGTTTGGAAAGATTAATACATTGCCATTAGAAACATCAATTGAAGTAATGTATTCTGAGTGTGGTGGTCACTACTTCTCTGTTCAGTAGGGTAAGAGAAAGAATGTTCATTGAGGTGTACAAAACAATTCAGGCAGTGTGTGCAGATAGCATTTAAGGATAAAAACACAGAACAAATTTGGGACCAGATTGATGTCCAGAATTCACATTAATTCACGGTGTAAATGGTTTCAATAACAGCTTGACTGAGGTTATATTCAAAGCACTTGCAGTGACTGGCTGCTCTGCTTTAGGAGTGAGTGAAGTACTGCCTGCATTGCAGGATCTGTGCTTGCCACCTCCTGGGTGCAGGCTGAGGATCTCAGCTGTGTTCAGGCTGCTTCCTGCAATAAGACCTGGTTGTTCTGATCTCTGGGAAGTTCTGTAGCTTGGCTTGTCCAATGGTCTGCAGGGAAATGTAGGAATCCAAAGTGAAATATTGCAGTTAAGGCATTCATAAGTATAGGCATGCAGTATTAGGCAATCAAATTACACTTGAAATCAAGCTTCCAAATTTAAAAAAAATCTCACAAAACAAATTTTAACTTTAAAAATAATTTTCTGTAAGATGGATGAACTGTCAGACAGCAATTGCAGAGTTACATGCACAGTGGCCTGAAATGCAGAATTGCTAGAAATAATGTGCATGTGGTTGCCATTTCCAAGTGTTGCTCCTTGAGCATGTCTCAACCAATACACGTGCCTTGTTGTGGCACCTGGGACATCTTTCCCATTGTGGCAGACAAGTAGGAATACTGAGGCAGAGCCCTCCTGTGCAGGTGTGTGGGCACAGAAGGCAGAGAAATGCCATGCATCCTCTGGCTGTGAGTCGTCTGGAATCAGCTGTCCTCCTTCCTATGTATGCAAAGCTTTTCTTTGGTTTCCTAGATTCTGTTAAAGGCATTTCCAGAGTTAATTTTATCAGTTCCTCTGGTCGTGTTCCCTCAACTGGCTGTCACAGCTGGGGCTGTTAGTGCTTAGATTTTTATTTTTAAGGTAATGATTTGCTGGACCTCAATATAAATTTGCAGCTGCTGGATGCTCTGATAGGATCTTCAGAGAAGTTATGATCCTAGGCCTGTGTCTGGGCAGAACTTTGTAGAACATCCTCTAAAGCAGATGACTTGTATTCCTATTTGCTGTGTGCTGTTGGTCTCCAGAATTACTGGCTGTGAGATTCCTTAGAGAAGACTCCATGCTCTGTCCTTTAAGGGCCGTGGTCTTGGGCTTGCTTGAAGGAGGCACGGGTCTTTGGTGTGTGGTAGCCAAGCTGCCTTTCCTTATGCACTAGAAGAAAGAGTTTTGGAAGAGTGCTGCTTTCTGGAAGTGAATGTGGGTTGCATGTTCCTCTGCTAATCACATTTGGAGTACTGAAAACTATGGAATATTATTCTGTTCCTATGAAGAGACCATCTGGTGAGCATTGCATTTCTGTGACCTTACACTCAGACTTCATGCTGCTCTTGGCGACGTATTTTTCATTGAGTTGCTCAGCATCTAGTGGAGAACATCACCTGGGCTATTACCTGCTATTAACAAGGCTCTGGTTGTTGTTAGTGTGCTCCTGGTAATGACAAGATGAAGACAGTTGCCTAATTGCATGTGAAGTTTTTGTGAACTTCCTGGGGTGACAGATGTGATTTCTGCCATTTGCAGGTACCGCTCAGGAGTACGGAGGGATCATACGTCATGGTGCAAAACTACTGTTTGCTTTTGCAGAAGCAACTGTGCCTAAAATTACTGTAATCACCAGAAAAGTAAGTTGGTATTAATTCTGGGGTGTTATTTTATAAAGTGAGTTCCGCTGTCACCAATAGCAGTTCTGGTTACATGAAGCTTCTTACTTCTGCCCCACTTCTGCCTTCTGTAGTGGTCGCATCTCAATTTGTCCTGTTTGGTAACACCTCTTCATGCCAATTTACAAGTGACCATTTCTTCTATTCTCAAAATATTTTCACAGTTCATTTTGTCTCTGTGCTCCTCCAAATCCATGTTTCTGCTCTTTGTTTTCTCCCTAGAAAGCCTTTAGTCACGTATTTGTCCTCTCATCTGTGTCATCCCTCTGCAAGAGGCAATCTTTGCCATCTTCTCTGTTCTTGCAACTTCAGGCTCCAGTTCCAGAAGCAGTGCTTATTGTGTCTCTTTCCTGTTTGCTTTGCAGATTTAATGCTTCTGTGCTTTTCCTTCTTCCATGTACTTTTCCTATACCTTCCTTGGGTTCCTTTTCTCTTTTTTGGAAGGTACATGACACGTGTTTCTCTAAGTTCCTAAAAGGCTTAGCTAAACATCTCTCTGCTTTCTCCTTTCCTGGTCTGTCCCTCCTGTTCTGTTTTTTGTTTTTGTTGTTTGGTGGTGGTTTGTTTCATTTGTGATAGGCTTTTGACAGCAATGAAACTGAAATAGCTTCTCAGGTTTCTCTTCCTTTGCCATGACTGACTGTTGCCATTCTCTTCTTCCCAAGCTTGCATCCTTGCTTCACTTTAAGTACTGCCCTGAAACACTTGGCTGTAGCTTGCTCTGCAGTTCTGCAGTATTTGTTTACCATTGCTGTCTGGACTACTTCCAGGCCCAGAGTGGAGCACTGCAGAATCTGAGTGCTGCATGCCCTGGCCAGGAGCTCCCGGGAGCACGCTAGCTTATTTGAATGCACGTGCAGGGCGAGGCCTGGTGCTGCATACAGGCACCGACTCCTCTTTTCTGCCTTCAGAAAGGTTTTATATTTCAATAGCTCCCTTCCTGCTTTTATGTGGTTTCAAGTTTGTGAAGCTTAGTCCTAGGAGATGGCTGCAGGCAAGTTTTTACAATTCTTTATTGTTTTTATGAGTGGGAATGTCTTGAGTGTGTGTTTGCATAGACTCAGTGTCTAGACTAGCATGTTGATGGACCAAATAACAGCCACTCTTACAGGTAAAAATGTAGCTCCACTTGCTTGTTGTTGGAACAGTAGAAGTTGCAAGAGGAAAGTAAATTGTTGCTGTGGGAGGTCACTCACACTAACGAATCCCTGGGGTTTTGTTCCAGGCCTATGGCGGTGCCTATGATGTGATGAGCTCGAAGCATTTAAGAGGAGATGCAAACTATGCCTGGCCGACGGCAGAGGTGGCAGTGATGGGGGCAAAGGTAAATAAATGCAGGCTGACTCACACTGTGTGCAGCAGCCATTGCTGCTCACTGGCACAGAGGCTGCTTAGTGAGAGGAAGACTAGTGATACTTTATTTGCCCAACGCCCATGCGGTGTGTGGGGGTGGTAAAGCAGACATCTTTGCCCTGTATGGGTTGAATACCTGTGGGCTTTATCTTCCTAGGGTGCTGTGCAGATCATTTTCAGAGGAAAAGAGACAGATGCTGAGGCAGAATACGTGGATAAATTTGCAAACCCCTTTCCGGCAGCGATGCGAGGTACTGTTATCACGTGTATTGTGTCCCTTGTTTTGAGTTTGCCATTGCTTGTAGTTAATTTTTAAGCATTTAGTACACATTTTGCTGTAAGTTATTTAGCTGAGAAATTTGTGTCCAAAAAAGTCACTATCTGGTCACTATTGTGACCAGAAAACCAAACTGCCCATCCGAATGGCTTTGGATGGGAAGAGACTGGAACAGTGGGGACTGCAGTGGAAGGCATACTTTCAATTTTGCAATCATGAGAAGCCTCCAAACTCATACTGTTAATTGAAATTATAGGTGCTTTGGCAATCTACTTGATGGTTCTAGATGCTGACTGGTGGCCCTGAGAAAGGGTCTGGTTCAGTTCAGTGGTTTTTCTCAGAGCTTCTTGGTGTGAATATTTCTGCTCTTCTTATAAAAGGACTTTTACCTCTAGCTTTGAAGCATTACCTGTGCTCCAGAAGGCAGTTCTGTAGGCTCTGTAGTCAGGTCTGCATTTTTCCAGTTACGCTGCTTTGCCCAATTAATAAGCTTTGTGCTTCATTTAAATCCTCTTAATAGTGCCCCGGAGCTGGGACAACTTAGTCAAGCTCGTCATCACAGCTAGTGTGTACAGCATTGCTCCCTTTGGTTTGCTGTTACTGCTGTTAGAGCCAGGAAAAAAGACTTGTGAGCATGCAAAGTTAAGGGATTCTTCTAATCGACAATTAAGTCAAACTAATTAATAGTAGAGATGATATCTCTAAGACTTTGCAGTAACAGGGAAGCATGCAGTGAGTAAAGCCCACTCCCTAAGTCATCTTTTTTGGTTGGCTAACTTTTTTGGGGAAAAAAAGTTTCTTGTTTTAACACTTGACACAGGAATATTTTCTCTTCAGACTATTCTAAATTCTTGAGTTAATCTGTAACTTGTGAACAGCTGATCCCAAGATTTATTTTAGGTCTGTGAATTTAAATCACAGCCTAGATACAAAGGTTAAGAGGCAAGCTCTTCGTGTGGTTTGTTTTTACAGGGTTTGTTGATGATATCATCCAGCCTTCAACCACCCGCATGCGCATCTGCCATGACCTCGATGTGCTGGCAAGTAAAAGCCAGGCCAACCCCTGGAAGAAACATGCTAATATCCCACTGTGAGTGAGGAGGGACCCAGCCCTGGCAGTGCTCTGAATGCAAGTCCTTTCTGTGACATGGCAGTGTACTCTGTAATAGAAGTATTTCATTCTGATTTTGTTAATGCTTTTCAATAAATCATAGTACATACCTCATTTAACTTGGGATCTTTATAACCCACAGAGAAAGATTTAATAAGCAACACAGTCTGCAGTGCCTGCTGCAGGGATGCTGGTATGGGTTGTTGAGGGCTGAATGCTCCTTGGATTCTTCATTCCATGGGCTGTAGAGGTGGCTGTGTTAGGCAGAGCTGCAGTGACCTCTCACTGCTGAGATGTCACAACTCTGTGCTGTGAGTACTGCCCTGAGTCTGCACCTTGGGTGCCTTGTGCTTCCTGCACCACAGCTCACAGAAAGAAAAATCCTAGGCTTGGATTTTGGTGTGTTGCATTCCAAGCTTTGCAGATCTCAGACTAACCTGCTCTGTTCCTCTGCTAGGCTTGCCCAGGTTGCAGTTTTATATGCTTGCTGAAGCAGTGCTGTCTCTGGTTGTTACCAAGTTATGTGTGTGCCATGGGGGCATAGGGGACATAAATGGAACCAAGCTTCTCTTGGAGGATGAGACAGTTTGGATTCCCAAATTGGAAAAAAAGGAAATTCCAATGGGACATAAAAAAAAAAAAAAAAAAGAAAAAAAAATCTCCCTCAGCAGAGGGTTGAAATAGGGACTTCCAGACCTATCTTCTGCCTGTTTTTTTTTCCCTATGATTATTTGCCTGACTTTCAAGTAACAGATGTTACTACTACTGGCTCTGTGCTCACTCTCCTCATTAGAAGCTGTGAACTACAGACCCAAAAGCTAGTGGTGATGGTTACTGTCATGGTTAGTGCTACTGCAAATACCTTCCAGCACAAGAACCCTGTGTTGACCTGTCTGTTGGGAGCATCTTCAGTAATTAGCAGTAATGTGTTACAAGATAAAGAATTACTCTACCTGCAGATCCCTGCTGCTTCTGTTCACTCCCCAGGCATCTGAAGTGGAGGAAAGAGGTAAGAGTGCAACTCTGCTGGTAGGCACTATTCCTGGGTAGGTGCAAGTTGGTGTCTGATGTCTTCAGCCATAGAACCTGAAAGAAAAAAAAAAAGGGGGGGGGAGAAAGCAACCACTAAAAATGACCTAAAAGATAGCAGAGAAAGACTGTTTCAGCTATGATCCCAGCCAGCTAAAGACTAGAGACGATGTATCCAGACTATGGAAATGCATCTGAGCTGTTTGAATGTACGTGGCTGTATCGCAGCAGACATGCACTGCCCCAGGAAACAGCACACTGCAACAAGGCAAGGTCAGCTGAAATGCGAATTTTGGGGGTCCATGCAATGAAATGAGTTCTTCAGTTAGTTGTGAGAAGTGGTGTAATCAGGTATCTGCTCTTTAAGAGTTATTCACATAGGACCATGAGGATTTTCAAAGGTAAGAGAGTGGCTGTCCCAAGTTCAGAGGAAAAAGCTGTGTCAGTAAAGCAATATGTGCAGTTTCTCAGCCTGATCTGAGCCAGCAGGAGATGCTAAATGAGAACCCCCAGTTGTCAAGTCACAAAAGAAGAGGCACAACTGTTGTTCTAGTTTCTTAGCCTCATTAGTTGTTAAACAGACTCTATCCTCTCTTCTCCCTCTTGCTGGAGAGAGCAACTCTTACATGCTGTTGATTTCTGAGCGCTTCATTGCTCTGCCATCACAATGCTTTGGAAACATACTGGAAAGATGTTCTGGCCACACTTCTTCTCCAGCTTCTCTTGCATTCTCATCCCCTGCACAAACAATTGGTACAAAATAAGAATCCTTTCAGAAGTCCTTTTACTTAGAAGCCAAGCATGATATGTCAGGCATTAAGGGTGACTTACAGGCAGCTGGAGGGAGGTTCAGGGTTCAGGTTGTGTCTGAAGAGTAGACCTAGAGTGCAGTTCAGGCCTTGACTCCTATCTCATTCCTCACCTGTTTGATTGTTACTTTTCCTCTCAGATTTTTTTTGGGAGGCATGCCAGATGACAAGTCAGTGTCCTTCAGCTCTGCAGAGATGAAATCATTAATAGGGTGGAGAAAAACAGCACCACCTCCTCTGAGCTGTGGGCGGCACAGAAGGCGTTTCATTTTGTGAATCTGTGAAACTTCATTGCCCTTCCAGGCCTTTATTGCTGCTTTCTTCCCATGTGGTCCAGATCATTTGAGGTGTAAATGACAGCAGAGTGAAATTTTTCTCCAAATCTATGACAGTTTTTACAGCATGGCAAAGACTGGAATTTCTCAGCAGTGAGACTTCCCAAGTTGTGTGATGAGTTACCAAATGTACTGCAATCTCACAATAAAACCTCACCATCAACCAAAGCCACACCACAGTGGAGAGAAAGGGGGGAAAAAAAGGGAGGAGGGGGAAAGAGACCAGATAACATTTTTCTTTCTTCTAAGGCTGAATGGTTAAGATATGTATAATAAACTTGTTTTTGAAGCCTGGACTATATGAGAACTACCATTCAGTACTTCATTTGGCTATAATTAATGGGATGACAAGATGTGATGGCCCAAACCAGTATCTAAAACAAAGTTATAGTGAAGAGGGTGCTCATCGTACTCATGATTTTGAATAGTTTATTAAATGAAAGGTGAAGCATCAGTTTTAAATTGTACAAAAGGAAAAAAAAACCTCATATTGTAAATGTACAATTTACAGAATTACTAGCAAAACCAATCAAGGAGACACTCATAATACAAAAACCTATTGACTGCAAACTGAACTGGAAACCCATTGCAGGTACCGTGATAATAAATGTTTGTTATACAGTATTCTACAATGTTAAATTAGGAATCAGTTTTCCACACAGAGGACTGTGAAGCACAAGGTTTGTCTGAGGCTCTGACTCAAACCAGGCAGCCATTATTGTGCCTCTATGCTCACAGAATTACTGTGATGACAATTTAATGCAGCCATCCCAGCCCACCCAGCACCACAGGGATGGACAGAAGAGGAAGGGAGGTAATGTTATTTTATGAAGCTCCAGCCACTTCTCCTGTTTTGTCTATTACCCAACTGACAGGAGAGGAATGGCTGGATCTCCCAGTCCAACATTTTTGGCAACCGTTTCTGTTTGAGAACTGCACATGTAAAAAACAAACCTCAGCTGTGTGAAATGCTGGTTTGTTCTTTTTAGATGTTTTTTCCCCTCCCAGCAAATAAACACTGGGTATTAATGTTGTTTTGTTTTTAAATAAGCTCACAAAAAAAAAAAAAGACAAGTTCCATGATAACTTTGCTGTTGCTTAAAAAAAAAAAAAGCACCTCTAAACTGTTGTGCTCCAGGTGGGTCAGTCTGCTTTCTATCTCAAATGCAGAAAGGAAGGTGAATGCTTGGGGCTGATGCCCAGAGTCACTGCTCAGTGCAGGCTGTGGGTGGGCAGCAGCTCTGGCAGCAGGCCTGTTCTAACTAAGCAGCTACCAGCCAGGGCATCAAACCCAAGCATAACATTATTCCAAATTATTAAAGACACTGAAAAATCTCTTATTACAGTGACTCAACTGAGGCTGTTCTGGGTTTGTCTTTTTTTTTTTAATGTTTTTTGCTTTTTTGAAAAATTGTATTTTTTTCCCCAAATAGTTACTCTTAATATGCACAGTTAACACTGAAAAATGTAGCTGTATTCCATTGTAAGCTTAAGAACTTCACCATCTAAGCACAAGTTTCTAAGCAGCACATACAGTACTTCTAACTGGCAAAATTAATTTACAAAAATAGCGCAGAAGGGAATTTAGGGCATGGGAAGTGGACTTCTGTATGGTACAGGTAACATTGCCTGTAGGATGCTAAAGCGATTCCTGTCCCCCACCCTTGAATTATTGTTTCTTTAAATAGGAAAGTTGCTGTTTATGTACCTTGGGTTGGCAGGGCTTGAAGTAGGTAGTAAAAACAGCAAAGTGATTACTTGAGAACCATTTGTGTGTTTTACTGAGAATACTTTATTTGCTGGTATAAGTTGCTAAAAATGCACAGAGCAAGTACCAATAGAAAACTTACTGCTTTTGTGTCCCCATGTGCTATATAAAATGAATGTTACACAGCGTCTGTTGGAAAAGTGGCTTCACGGACATCTCTCACTTCATGTCCCATTATAAATAAAAATAAATCTTCTCAAGAGTATAAAATCTGGGTTTATCATATCAGAATCTGAATTTTTTTTGGCAGAGATGCACGTCATTAGAATTCTAACCTCTTCTATGAGAGTGTTCTTCTCAATGCCTACGAGAGGATATAAGCGTACCACAATGTTAATCAAATCCAGTGTGTTCAAAAACACTTTTCTGTAGCCAGAACGACCTGCTTATAGCATCATTGCTAGTCAATGGCTGATAGGCATAGGTTTAATAAAAATGGCTAGCTTTTAAAACATAAAAAGGCAAATGTTAAAACCGTTTTAAATTGTACAGCAGAAAAATAAAGTTAAAAAGTTCTGTTATCACTCAATGTTTTCAGAAAACATATGTAGAACAGTGTTTATTTTGACAGCTGTCTTAACAATTTAAAACTTCCTCCTCATCCAGGAAAAAAAAATCTGTATTAGGACAGTCAAGAACAAGGGATACAAATGATTTTCTAGGTCAGCCTTTCTGAGGTGACGGGATTGGCCAACATTCCTTTGTGTCATTAAGAAGTTCCTCTTCTTTCTGTCACTACAAAAAGGGATTGACCTTAATCATTTGGTTAAAAATCAAACCGTATCACATCAAAAATGTGGTTTTCATACAAGCTATCACAGTATATAGGCCTCTAGCTCTAAACAATAGAGTTCCAAATTTGTAAAATGTCTTCAGCAGACTTCAGAACATTGGCATTCCAAATCCCTAGAAAAATGATTTAAAAGAGAGCAATTAATTAAGTGCAACAGTAATCAAGAAAAGAACCTCCGATAAACAGCAGGCAGTACGAGTAAAGTCTTACTGAATCGTCCTCAATGATAGCTGCAGAGTCAAAGAAGTCTGGCCTCAGTTCAGCCCGTTCTCGTCGGTTTCTTGAAGGTGGCTGAAAAGATGGGCAGGCTGTTAGAACATCACATCCATAACTGCCCGCCAAGGATCTGCTGGTGCTACAGCTGATCACTACGTGTTCGTCCGTGGCCTTGCAAAGCAGCTTTGCATGCATTTCCATAAAGGCTCAGATACGAACTGAGGCCCTGACATAGCAGAGTGCTGCTTCAATTCATATTTTATTTAAGGAAGCAGACAAAGAATTACACGAAAGCAATTTTAAGTTTGCTCCCGTAGCTAAGGACTTGCTTAAGGCCTTCGCTGCCTTACTGGTGTTCTTGTATTAGCACTGTACATGGTCAGACTACATAAAAGCTGTGCTTTGTGCTTTTGTTTATGATGAAACCCTGATGTGGTCAGAACATTTTATGTATGATGATGTAATACGAGAACTAAACCTCTGCCTCATAATTTGGATGTGAAAGAGAAATACGAAAGCATAGAAACCAGTAAAGCATATAATGCAAAAATTCATTCAGAACTGAGGCCAGCAGGCTTATAGGAAATTCAGCTTGTCCTCGATCATATTGATGTGAAAGAAATGGAGGTTGCAGTCTGATGGTGCAGCTTGGTTAGGAGCAGCACCAATACTGTAAGGTACTACCATACACCTGCCTTCTACTGCCTGCTGTGCCAGCACAGCTCTGTGCATGGCTGCAACCTGGACAAAACCGTGATTATGGATCCACTACCTCCCCTACATCCCAGAAAACAAACTAGGAAACAGAACAAACTCTGCTTGACCACAGTGAGCCTGCATAAAATCTTGTGACAGCAGATGAATTAGTGATGGCTGTAACAATGACACAAAGAAAGAAGCAACAGCACGTCTAACTTTAGCTGATAGTTTCCAAACTCTTCATAATGTCAAACACCAAACCAAATCAAATGTTGTTACTGGCTTTCAGACAGCCCATGTAAACAGCGTGAGGCAGAGTAGGCAGCTTAATGTAACGTTCAATGGGACAGAATGAGGTGGTCTCACCTCTGCCCCCCAGCAGCACTCCTACCCCTGGCTTAATCTGCAGGGCAAATCAGATCGGTGATTTCTTCAGCACTTCCCTAAGACATCTGCACTGCTATAAATCATATCCTCATTCTCATAGGTGGACAAGTCAAAGGTGCATAGCAGTGCTTCATGCACGTGCTACTGCCTGAGTCCACAATATTAGGAAGAGCAATAGGCAATGCTTCTTGTGTTTCTATGAATAAAGTCAACTGGGCTTGAAACTGCAGTTTTAGGTTTCAGGGAATATTCAGATTATTTCCACTCTTTAACATTAAGATCAAAGGAAATAAAGGTCAACATTTTGGACACTCTGTACTTACTTGTGGAATTCCTTCTAAATCATCCTTCTACCACTTTAAATTAGCTATTAATAAGATTTACTGACCAGATCAATGACCATTGTGTCCTCAAATTCTTCATTCATATCCTCTAGCTGACCTCGTGAGGACATCATTACATCTTCGAAGATGGGCTCGGCGTCATCTTCCATTAGACCGCGTCTGGTCAAGTAGAAACAGGTCATCATTTTCATGCATTGTGATTTCCCAACCATGAACACTGTCATTAAGAACAATGCAAAATCCTATCCCCTAATTCCTTCTCAGCATTACACTGAGAATAAAACCAGCACGTTTACTCAGTATTAGCTGGAAGAAAGTTGTATGTAAAGACCCTCCCACTTGCAGAGGCTAAAGCAGGAAGTCCAGTGTAATATCATTATGACCACTAATTAAATCTGTCCTTAAGAAGGAGAGGGCAATAACCTCACTGGGTTTGTCTGCCCTTTTATAAAAGGAGCTACAGTGTTTGCCAAGATCACTGCTAAGTGCGTGGGAATCCAAGACCAGTTTCTAACACTATAATGACCTGATCTTGCTGGAGACTCTGGCCCCCACCCTGAGAAGTATTTATGCGCTGAAAGACCTTGTTAGATCAGCAGCACAGAGCACCTTGTACAACAGAACACTTCTGCATTCACCCATGGGTGTCCCCTCCATTAGCTGCCCAGTGGGACACCTTCACAAGAGATGAGGTGGGTGAACAAAGCTTAAACAAGTTCATGGGAAAACTGGAAAGCAACTTGAGATAGATGCTTGCTGTAAATTACTTAACAGATAAATCACAGTATTTCATGGGAAGTGTCTGAAAATAGTTGAAAGCAATTAAGAGAACTATGAAAAATGGTCCCACAAAGGTCTGCTGTGTTTACTAGGCACCTGCTTACAGCTGTGGTTAAGGGCAGAACACCTGGCAACAGCACCCTATTGCCTGACATCCATCCCAATGTTACAAAGCTGTTACTCTGCCTTTTTTAAGAAGAGTTAAACACCATTACAGAATTTACTGGTCAAAACTCAGAAAAGTAACATTTAAATGCGGCTTTGCCATCTAAAATGAAGATGCTCTGAACACTTACACTGCGTGCCTTACACCAGTTCTCCCTTTCATGTAGTTCATTCCTGTCCTGTCCTTTCGATTTAAATCTTCTAGCTTCTGTTGGCCCAACCAAGATATCTGCATCTGGGGACTAACAAACATAGAGCAGTGTTATGATTGAGAACGCTAATGATTCTGTGTTGCCTGTTTTTAGACAGCATTTCCTCAAGTTTTTTGTCTTGACATGCTTCAGATTTAGTTATTTAAATTACTTCCATTGTTGTACAAGTCTTCTGGGTACCTTCTGCAATTTGTCTCCTCCCACTGTGCATGCACAAAAAAATCCATTAGTTGTTACAATAAGAAGAGCTACATAAAATGCTGGCATTACTCATTCATTAATGCAACATGCACCTGAAATGAAGACACTTCAAAAATTAATTCACCACCTCAGATCAGGCAAAAATATGAGTAAGAATTGATCCAAGTTAATAACAGAAACATTCTAAGACAAAAAGTCACAGAAAGTGAAAAACAAATTACTTTCAAACCCATCCTCCCATCAACTTTAGCATCCAGTGACTATCCATGTGCAAACTCTTGAAAGGCTGTACTTAGCACCAACTAAATCCAGCAGTAGAAAGCAATGCATTCAGTGTTTTGTGTATTGCAATTAGAAAGAGACAGTAGTAGAATACATGCAGATCTTCAAGAGCAACATCACTTTTTAGTTATGTAATCTTATACCCTAGTAAGACTGAAACAATAAAAGGGAAGAACCATGTGAAAACAACCCAGGAGGAAATACTGCTTTGGGCATGATTGACCATTCTGTTCAGCAACTGACTGCTCTGTATTTATTTTTGTCCCTCATCTTCCATAGAATTATTTATGCTGGAAAAGACCTTCAAGATTGTTGAGTCCAACCAGTGTTGTAAGTACCCAGTGTTAGATACCTGCACACAGCTATTGTGCAAATAGTATACAATAGATTGTATACAACTGTATACATCCATATTTTTAGGGACTTTCCATGGAATGCACAACATGTTTGGGATCAATTCACAAGAGGATTAGGGATCAGCAGGATCCAACTCTAAGGTATGTTGTGGCACATAAGAGACAGAGTGTTAAATGGGAAGATGAGGTCCTCAGCACGTGTGTGGATGAGCAGCTAACTCCAGGCTGAAAGGAAACCATTCTCTACTGTTAGTTCACACTGTGAATTTCTGTGTGGGACCCAAGGAGAGCGACGCTGTCTGTCTTTGCTCAACAGTTCTCTGCCTGCAGCATTCAGCTGAGATAGGAGAAACAGAGGTTCAAGTGAAAAGTGAAAAGCCTGGTGCAGCTTCTCCCTGAAAAGAGAGGCTTCTCCCACACCTTAAAGTTCTCCTACACCTTCAAGCAGCTCCTGTTCATCAGGCTCAGGAAGGTGATGCACAGTGAGTGGAAGCAGTCGCACTTTCCTTAACTGATTAAATATTCACGGACAGAGGTAGCTTAGTGTTCAGCACAATGAGCTGGGATCAGAGAGGGGCAGGGAAAAGGCTCTTGCTTCATCAAGTTCTTTGATTTTTCTTTCCTTTTTTTTTTTTTTTTTAAATTGAGGACTAGGAAAAAAGGAGAAATTGTTGAGCTACAAAGTCTTCTTTATAATCTAGAAATTACAGCAACATCCGGGGAGGCAAACTCCTGAGCTCAGGAAGCAAGGAAAATGAAGGTAGATCTCAGTACCATGGGAGTAAGTTGATAAGATTCTGTGGTTCGGATGTTAACAGTTCATCCTCAGTTGTGCTTTCATGGCCAGCTGGGGCTTTCTGCCCATCTCATCTGTGTAGGTGAGAAAACTCATGCCCCCACTTGCCCTGTATTCACATCTTCATGTGACAACCCTAATTCCTTCCATACAGCACCAGCTGGGAAACCTGTCAGGCCTTTGTGCAGGAGAACAGGTAGCCCTTGCTGCAGTGTGAACCTGCCTGATGAGCCTTTCACCCATCTCACACGGCCTTGTGCTGATACCATGTTAGTATGGGGAAATAAGGGAGCTGAAATCATTTATGAAAACACCAAGCATGCTGCAAAAACAAAGTTATCTGTAGCCAGCTGAGATGCAAGTATCTCTTGTGGCAAACACAGATTCATGGATGTTATCAAGGTTTCATCTGTTGTACTGCTGATGTCTGTGCGCGCTGCATACACAACCAAGGGAAAAGAATAAAAGTTATAAAGACAGCCTCCAACCCAGTTGCTGTTATTCTTTGTCTTCAGATTGATAATAGTTAGCACATAACAGCATTCTCTGAAGATTTTGTTAAATAAACTACTGACAGATAATAACAACCATTTTCCCCCCATAAATCGATTTAAATGGAGGTGATAAAATGGGAGTTGAATGACAAAAAATTGTGTCTAATTTAGGGCAAAATAAAACTGCCTGCAGAAGTGCCAAGAAGCAGGAGATACCAGTTCAGCAGCTGAACTGAATTGAAGAATTAATTTGTAAGAAATCAGTAAAGATGTCTGGAGAACATTTACTGTACTATGACAGAAGGAAAAAAAAAAGATAATACTAATAGGTTTTAGAGAAACAGTTCAATCCAACCCGGGCCCACAGACATCATGATTTATCCATAAGCCCACAGTTATGCTATAAGACAGTTTTAATGTAAAGAACTTCTACCTTGACATCACTACAACCTTTTTTTGGGGGGGGTGAGGGGGAGGGGGATTTAAATATTGCTGAGCCATAGCCGTGATTTTTCCAGTTGCTTTTGCAAAGAAACACTACATTTGTGGAGCCACAACTACCTGTATACATTCTACACAACTTCTTTACCTGGATTTGACTGTGTTTGGTACAGACATTCCAACACTTACTTGTGTAAAAAGTCTTGTTCAGATCCCTGCTCCGACTCGTGCTCCTGGATCTGCTCCCCCATTTGTCTGGTGTTCTCTCTCAACACAGTTGAGGTGAGCTGTGGTGCTTGCAGTGCTCCTGGAGTATGTATGTTTTCATTCCTGTTCAGCCAAGAGCCTTCCAGACTCTCATCTAGGAAAGGAACATTCAGAAACACTGACACATTTGTGATGGTGTAAAATGCAGTACTGCTGCCTTTAAAATCCTCTCAGCCAACTCACTGAACCTTACGTTAATAATTAAAGCCTTCCATCTATGATGCACTTCTTTTTAGAGGCAGCACCTTCTGCAAATTCATGCTTTCCGTAGTTTAGTACCTATTGAAATAGGTGTGCCTTTAAGAGATCAGCTGGATAAATACTCAAAATGTAATTTTTGTGTTCTGTTAAGGAAGGATTACTACCAGTTATTCCCAGCAATAACAACTATTCAAAGTAGAAATACTTCAGAAAACAAAATAAAAAACATTGCAAACAAACTGCCTTGCAGCACTGCCTGCATCGTTGGGAGGCTCACACACATTTCACAAAAACAATTCCTAAGTACCAATTCTGCAGTCTAAATATAAGACTGTTAGTTTCATACATATACATCAGATGAGATACAACTGAACACGATGATGGGAATGGAGGCATCAGAAACCTCAATGAGAACCATTCCAGTGGAGCACAGAGGGGACATGTGAAATAAGGAGAGGTCTGGTTGGTGTTAAAAAATGATATTAAATGATTTCAGACAGCAATATTTAGAGTTTAGAGCAGACAGGAGGATGGAGATGGGAAGCTGACTGAAGTTGTAATGTGGGATGCTGGGCTTGTACTGAGAAGGCAGCAAACTGGATGGAGATGAAGGGCTGGTGGGGCCTGAGATGAACATGTAAGAACACAACTGTGCAGACAAGAGACACGTAGAAGTTGCTGCAGCAAGTAAAAGCCAAGAGACTACAGAAGAGGAGAAGACAAGATCATAGATTACCTAACAGGAAGAAATAGCAGTGAGAAAGTAGCTGACGACCTCAACAGGTCTCTTTGCTTTTCCTATGCCTTTTATTACCCTGTGGGCTTAAAAGCTGTCTAAAATAGTTGCCTATTTATTCTTGAATTTACCTTTTACAACACTAGGGTTTTTGAAAATCCTTCTTATGTTTCACTTCCTTAAAGCATTATGAAGAAATGTCAGAACCACCTATACACATGGCAGTTCTACTTTCATGAGCAACAGAGAATATTCTCCAGCCCCAGTCTGCTGAAGCCAATACACACTGCACTGAGGGCAGGAAGGAACTACAGGATCTGGCTTTGTTTCTTGGATGCCATGATAGTTTCTGCAGTGCCAATGTCCTTCCTTTAGAGTGGGATTTAAAGGAAAAAAAAAGCAGGATCCAGAAACACGTCTGCATTTGTGGTTCTAATGCTAGATTAATTACAATTAAAACTAGGACTTCTGGAAGGGTTACAAAAATATGTAAAGATAAGAAACAATGGCCTGCATACATGCTGAATACAGACTATCTGTAGGCAACCAGCTGCTCAGCAGACTGGTTCTTCATAGCTCAACTTCTACGGACCAGTGAACAGTAAATACTTATTTCTAAGAAGAGGATTACATTTCTGATTATTTCCTGAGCTCATTATTTGTACATACAAAATGAGCCCCTTCCTTGTGCAGCAGTCACAAAAAGCAGGCAAACTGGCTTCAGGCTGTACTGCTGCTAGGTGATTCCAGTGGAAACTTTGGTACATTCAGATATTTCAGAAAGTGAACAATTAGGTGAAGAGCCATAGATTCAGGCTTACAGCATTTTAAGTCAGAGCTGTTTTTGGAAAATTCAGGACCCCAGATACTGCAAAGAAAGGCGATATTCAAAAGGAAGGTGTTGCAAGTCAGTTCTTCCTCCTATCGATCACTGAACAAGGCAGGCATGAAAGAGAGTGGGGCAAACAATGTCATAAAAGCTACAACCTAAGAATGAGACTTGCCTTATGGGGAAGCAGAGATGTTACTACAGTTCCTGGAAAAAATAAAGATACTGGTAGAATAAAATAAATTAGAATTAAAGCAGTAACAGGAGGAGGAAAGAAAAAAAAATGACCCCGGTTGAATCCTGTGTAAACCATGGCAATCTGAAGGAAACAAAGCAAGCTGTGCTTTTTCCTACCTAGACTCTAGTTTGGCTATTGGAAACTAAAAGACTTAGCTCATGCACTGCTCAGCATAAGCTGTAGGGGAGGACAGATCTGACTATAAGAGAATTAGCATTAGATTCTTCACTGAGGGGTTACTATGGTAGATAACAATCTTGGAAGACACTCTGAAGTTTAATGATCTCACTTATAATTGATCTCACTTATAACTGTCTATTGAAATGATAAGCATGTTCACATAAACAGGCACTACATCATGCAATTTCACACTTATCAACCAGGAACAGATGCAATCTTGTAAGAAGTTGACCATCATTACCAAATTCCTGATGTACACTCCCAAAGTCATAGAAAAAGTAAATACACTGTATATTGGTGCCACACTGAACAAAAACATGCATCTTTTTAGTATTCTCCAGTGAGCTGATCTATATGGATCTACAATACCAATCTATATCAGAATTTCTGCCTCAGGTTTCCTCTAATATCATATAAATTAATAATTGCTTCAAAACTAAACAGAAGCAGAAAACAAATCTGAGGCTGGGAAAGGTGCAGAGCAGTTAACTCAACAGCCACCTCCTGTTTCCACTGTCAGCAATAGCTTTTAGTAGTTCCCCAGCTGAAAATCTCAGGACAGGCAAGAACAGGAAGTTACAAAGCTATTTCTCATACAGAAATGTTAAAGCTTGATAGCAATTTGCAGAACAGGTGCTTTGTGTTCACTACATACAAAATAAAAGGAAAGCTGTAAGGTAGGTACAAAATGAGAAATACCCCTATTAGGCAAGGTAAAACCATACCAACCTTCTACTCTCTTTTTGTGTAGTGGTGGCCGTCCTTTCTTATTTCTCACTGAAGAGGTTTTGCTGCTGCTGCTCCCACTGTTAACAGACATTCTGTCATCTTCACCGCCCGTAACTAGAGAGTTCCTGTAGGAAATTAGTGGCAGCCACACGTCTTCTCTTCTCTCCATCATCTGTTCTGTCAGAAATTTTTCTAGGTAGGTGTGACTGGAAATAGAAGACAATGAGTGCAGAGGCTCAGTGCATTGTTTCCTCTAATTAACTTCCCACAGTGCTGAGAACTTAGCAGAAATCTGTCATGGTGTTTCCTTATTTTAATTTGATAACATATGTTGATAGAGCCTTGTACCTTGAACTGATTAAGAATTCATGGCATTCCCTCAAAACAAAGAAACAGTTAATTGTGCACAGGTTATTCAGATAAGGAATTTGAAGTTTTCTCTCCCCAACATCCTCCTGTATTTGCCTGTAGTCATTCACAGTGCACTCTACTTCAATTCCCCTTCTATTCTGCATAGCAAATAAGCCACTTCTCTATATTGCTGGTGTGTCAACAGATCTGAATTAGCAGACTGAGGATATAATTTGCATCTTTGGAAAGGGAAAAGAACAGTTTTCTCGAATACAAGCAGATATTTTTCAGTAAAAAACTGAAGATCCATTCCATTGCCATGGAGAAGTCCAGTACTTGTTAACTTATGTGAGGAACCAACCACCTTCTGTCCCACACATGGCCTGGAGGACGTGAGCTATTTTCCTTTTCCACTGAACGTTTAATTAAGATTGTCCATAAAATGAGTAAGAAAAGCCACATAAAAATGATTCCAATGAGTTCCAAACTAAAGAACCAAGCACTCAGAATTAAGGCAAGAGAAGGCACTGTACTTCAGCATTTCCTCATTCTGTTAAAAAAATATGTTGTGATCACAGAGTGCATCATAATCTCATTCAGCACATTGCCAAGTGGCAATAATAAGAGTAACAATAATAATGTAGTAACAGTAACATAAATAATATCAGTTATACTAATAATAAAGAAGTAAATCAGAAAGGAAGCAGAAGCCTAGCAAAATAGTAGTGTTTCCTGAACTGTGATGGGAATGGTATCTTGCACCAAGGGCAGGTGACAGGCAGGCATACTGAATCAATAATATTTATTTTGAGGTAGGGAAGGCAATCTGGAGGGTAGGATGCCCTCCAGCTTGCCCCTATCTGCAGACATGCAGGTATGTTGATGAGATCTTCAGGGTTATTCTAGAGCACTTTAACCTCCAGACTAACAGCCCATTGCTGAGCTTACAGTCAGCTGGCAGGAGACCAAGCCAGCAGGGAGGTAAGTGATCCTGTACACAGGACTTCTCCACCAGATGGTGGTCATGTTCCTTCCTGCTTGCAGGCTGCTGCCCCTTTGCAGGGCGGGGGAGAGGTCCCTCTGGATTGGAGCAGCCATGCTACAGAGAAGGGCAAAATCAACTGTCCAGAGTATAGCTGAGAACGTAATGTCAGCAAATGCTATGGGGCAATGCACCCATTGCCTGACGAGTGCAAACATGACAGATCTCTCAAGTGGAGGAATGCAGAGATGTCCAAAAAACAACTTTACATATAAGCTAGTTATCTTGACTCTCTCCACAGTGACTGCAGCCAATGGAATCCAGGGCACGTCTGAGCTTATCTTAAATTTATCAGTAATTTAGAACAGATCAGATGAATTATGTCCTAAAGACTCTATTTCTTTTCCCAATCTTCAAATGCAATTAAAATAAATAGCTCAGATGCAGGAGGCTACAAGACAGACAGCTAAAATAATGTGGATTCCATCACAACAACCTTTGCAGTCCTGAGAAAAATGTGAGGAAAAAATGTGAATGGTAACACTGAAGGGTAAAGAATGAGAAATACTGAACTTTCTGCAAAGGGTCTGATTTAGCTGTCAGGTACACTGTGTACAGGTAACATAACTTCAGATTTTAGACACTGGAGAAACTTGTGGAAGTACTGGTAAGTGTGCAGGAAGAATAAACTTCATAAATTCAACTGGAATCAGCTAACTACACTTAAGCTAACAGGCACAGGGAACCTACGGTTCAGCTGGAAAGTCAGCCAGAAAATCCTTGATTCTTAAGCCCTGTTCTGAAGAACAGAACAGAGGTTGACAAAATTCAAGAGTATAACAATGCAGAGAAGTTTGAAAGCCTAAGTGCCAGGTTAGCTTGGATGAAGTCTAATTCTCAAGCTACTTTAACCATTTCTTCTACTCTGTTTACTGAATTGGAAAATTATTTATACAATTGAAAAAGAAAAATTACAGAGAAGCTTGAGAGAATGAGTCAGTTCAGGTAGTCATAGTAGTATGACTTGATATATACTTGTAGAATGGCTTAAATTCACTGTGGCCAGAAAAATAATTAGAAAAATATTTACAACCATAAATGATAAGATCTGGTAACTACATATTTAAATTGTCATGAAGTTATTCAAAGAACTCAGTTCTACACTGGCACACAGTACTATGATGACATTTAACTACAGTCCGTTTTTCCCTTATTGCTTCTATGCTGTGGCCAAATCTATTTGTTACAGAACATATTAGAAATGTACACTCTTACCTCTGCAGTGATGCTGACAACATATCTTTACTATGAACTTACCTTCACTAATGCAGCTTTCTCTATCAATTCTCTTAACATCCACAGCTGCCTTTGACATTTTTTCAAATGTTGGTCATACAACAGTATTTCTTGCTATACATTCAGCTCTTATCAACAGTATGTCTCATTTATTTCGTTTTTGGTACTTTATCTGCAGCCACTGATGGCCACACCAAATACAGGTTGCTTGTTTCAGTCTGAGGTCTCTATCACTCTGCTCTTTCCTAAACAACAACAGTGCTGTCTCTCACCCTATCTTTCTATCCTATTGTGCCATTAACAGAAGCCTTGACAACTCAAGAAGCCCACATCAACTCAATAAATTAAAATAAACATAAACATACTTCTCATACAAATGTCTAACAGAAATGAATGTTACTGCAGTGTTGTTGCAGTATCTGTATTTCCTATACTGCTTACAGCTCATTCCTTTTTCTGCTTGTCTGAAAAATGATTCTTTTTATTTTCAATGCTCCATAGGAAATTCTAAGCAATGTTGTTTTTTGTAAGGTCTCAAGTTCACTTAATCAGTGGATTTGATTCTTCTTTTCTGATTTATTTTCATTACTTCAAAATATAAATTGATGAATAACTATGTAAAAAGCCACTGGGCTTTCCTAAAACCCCCATTAGACAATGAAAACCTCAAAGCAGAGAACTTAAACACACAATTCTACTATTAACACAACTCAGCAAAGCCCACCGAGGAAAACAAGGCCATTACTTACACAGTCTTTTTGTCCTGCCGCAGGAGTTTAGAAGAAAATTCACTAAGCACTTCAAGGAAAGCAAGGTTAGGAGGTGGATAGTCTTGTCCTTTTTGATTCTGATATTTGAAGGCAAACTCTATTCCATCCCTACAGTGAAGAAATTTCAAGATGTTTAGACATTTGTAAGAAAATAAAAAAATATCAACATCATCCCATTACATCTAAATGCTGCCTCAAATTCAAACTGTGATCACCCCATCTTATTTTTCATTACTAGCAAATAGCAGCTTTTGGACCTGAGGGGAATCAAATGTTCCCTTTGAACGTGTGCGGATTCAAAGTCAACAACAAAATATTGCCAGTCTTCTGGTTAGAAGGAACTCACTGCAATGTAAGGAACTTGGCAGCTGTGGAAAGCCACTGCCTCAGCAGGAATAGCCAGTTGGCTTTTTCTTTATTCAGCCTGAAGCAGATGCTTGCAGTAATAATTATATATGAGGTTTAACAAGGTATAACTTACACATCTACAGTCAGAGGAGAGAATTTCCTTACCATCACACTGATCCATGCACATCTGCCTTGTCTTTGCTTTATCATCTGTGACTAAGGAAAACTACTTTTACACGACCCAATATGGCAAATGCATGCCTGAACCTCTCCTTGTCACAGGAAGTGTTTAGCAGCCTACTGCTTTCCTTTCAGGTCAGGGGAAACCCAGAAAGGAGTATAGGAGAAAGTGGAAGAAATGACTACAGATTTAAAAAAATACACTGTTGTTACAGGTGGATTTAAGCCTAAAAATGTCCAAGTATGTTCATACTGCAGACATCTTCCAAGTATAATCACAAGACCCTGACCTAGGACTGGGTCTGACTTGCCTTTTATGCAAACAGTAAGCACTTCAGTTAGAGGAGTAACAGTAAGGATGGCACCTTTCCAAAGATGTCAGCAATAGGCGCCTTTCTCAGGGACATACACAGAGCATCAGCAGCTCTGGTACTCCTGGCAGCAATGCTGCAGTGAGCGTGGCAAAGAAATGGATGCTGTGCCATCCTAGTCTGCTCACGTGCTTTCTCACAGTCTGAATGCTGAACAGGTTCTCAGAGCACAGGTATTTATGCTATGAGAAAAGCCTTTACAATAGCACAAAGAATGCCTGAAAAGGTACTCGTCAAAATGGATGAGATTCTTGGCCTCACAATTACATCTGTTTTATCTTCCTTACTAAGCCTCAGTTTCAACTGTTTTGAATCATTTAGTACAGCTAAAGGAACTTTTTTCTTCTCAGTGGGATCTAGGTTCAGTGCATACTACTGGATTTCCCTCCTGGAAAGGGACTGACAGTATGGGTAAGCTGCTCATGTGCCTACAGAACACCAAATGGCTGAGGAATTCCCCAGGTCAAACTCCAGGAATATGGCTGATGCTGAAAGGTTCAGATCAGAAGCAGGCAATGTTTGGGTTGCAGTAACCCGTAGCTGAGATGATACAAAATGAATACATTTCCACCAGTTATGCCTTGGTGTGTACTGTCCTTATCTGAAGGGAAATTCATGAGATACTGAAGATTGAACAAATTTGAGGATCATCATTTATTCCTAGATCTCTTCCAGTGAAGCAGAATAGCTAGGCTGACTCCAGGGACACATCCCTGACAGGCTGCTGAACCCCCTCAGTAATTCTGGGAAATTATGGGCTGTGCAGGGCTGAGGACAAGATCAAGACAGACCAATCAAAAATCTCTTTCAGGATCTCTGTTCTTTCATTGGAGGTATTCACTAGTAGTGATGACAACACTGCTGACTGATAGCTGAGTGGAATAAGCTGTATCCTCACACTGAGAACTGCTTTAGAAAGAAAGTGATGCAGGTGGCCTGAGACCTGGATGTTCAAGGAAGCAGCAAAAACAGATGGTGGGGACTGAGCATGACAGAAAAGGGACATTGCCATGCATATACCACAGAATCTCATAATGGCTTGGGCTGGAAGGGACCTTAAAGATCATACAGTTCTAACCCCCCTCAGTGCAGGTTGGCTGCCACCCATTAGACCAGGCTACCCTGCTCATCAGTGACTAATCTGAAGGTAGAACAAAAAAGATGGCATCTTCAATGCAAAACAACAGCACACTCAGCTCGAGATATGAAGGAACTCGCATTACTTTTGGGTTCTGAAATATCTCACGCTTCTCCCATCTTCAGTACGACACACACTATTTAGGAGCAGGCCTGGAACTCTCACACTGATCACCTACAGCCACCTTGTGCCATTTGGACAGGAAGATGTCACATTCTATTTGGACAAGCATTAGGACTTCCCAAGAGTTCCCCAGATATTTGCTGAAAGCTTAAGATGGGCATGAAGGAGAATCCAGAGTTTCTATCCAAACTCAGGAGGGAAATGTAAACTAGCAGGTACAGATTTATCTGATGTCCATTTCCAAATATGATTTTTGTCTCCTCCAAACTTTCTGCATCACTCATGCTTTTTTCCTGGCCAAATTCATTCTATTATTTGCATTCCTTTAGAATATAAAGTCACAATGATGTTCGGCTCATCTTAGTCTTAATGCTCTGAGACAGCAAACATTAATATTTTAACCTTTTTATGGCATGGAGAAGTTTAAATTTTAACTTAGTAACGCCTGTCTCCTGCCCAGCAGTTACATAAAAAGGCTCAATTCATTTTAAAAATAAAATAGATCTCCAAATTATTGTTGTAGAACCTTTTCATAAATCCTGAAGTACCTACAGAGTACACAGTACTGTCTTACAAAGAACTCTCTGCAATTGTTAGATACAGTCCATACAAGTACATGTCATACCTGTGACTTTCGCTTAGGTAAAAATGGCCATTCCAATCACACAAATAAATAGGCAGCAGTTATTTTTTCTTCTTTCCTTTCTCACATACATACACTTACACCCTCCATTATTTTTCCACAGAAATTAAAATAAATTGTTATTCCAGGACCTGGTTAAATTATATACCTATAGAAGAGTATACCGAGCAAAAATGTTAAGGCGAAGTAATATAAAAATCTAGTTTATTTACCACCACTCACTTGTGTAGTGTGGCCACTGCCTCTCTTGTCTTGATCTGATCCAAGCCAAAAGTGAGGGCAAACCGACGAGCCAGTTCCTTAATTCCACTAACATGGGCAGATGTCCTGTCCAGATTAGGACCTTGCTCCTGAACAAGTTCATTGAACAGCTAGAGAAAGAATTCAGCTGTTAAAATCTGTGTGCTACAAAACATATTCATTGATAAAGTCTTTTATTTTTAACCTGCGAGGGCAGGGTGGACATTACACTCACTCCTTTTTTACACAGATATGACAGATTTCACTTATCTTCTAATCCACCTCAGCTCCCAGATCACCTTCTGGTAAATGCTGTTTGACAACAACTGTCCCCTACCTCGTACTTGTGCAGACCACAACTCGCAGGCAGTATTTTGCACTTAACTTCACTGATCTCTATCTACTGCCTTCCCAAATAAGATGATTCTGCATTCTGAAGCTGCTTTCTAAAATACCTGCCTCCCCCATCAGATCAGTACCAGCTAGAAAATTAGGAAGCAAAATTTCTACTTCATCACTCAAGACTTAATGAATATCTGAAGAGCATCACTGGGTAAATGCCTTCAAAACCTACTTGGTAATGCCATTGCAGCACAATAATTAACAACTCAGTAGTTCTTTAAACAGTTCTTTATTTGTATTATCTTATTATGGTACCATTTAGACCACGTTTTACTAACTTGCTAATGACAATAGCATCAGAGGAGACCGTGTCAACAACTGCATTACATTTACTGTTTCTCTCCTACCCACAAGCTCTGTTACCATATAATTCACAAAAGCAGCTTCCTTTGACATTATTTCTCCTTGACAAATTCATACTGACTAACCTATCACTTAGAAACTTGCAAATAGCTTGTCTAATATTTATTTTATTTGTGATGTGGTACTAGGCTGACAGATCTCTGGCATCTGTCTTCTTCCTTTCTCCAAGTCTTAAGGACAGGAATTACTTTGACACTTGTGAGTTCCTCTGGAGTTTCTTCAGTTTTTATCAGGTTTTCACACATCTCTCTTAGCTTCCAGATTGCTACAGGAAATCCTCTAGTAGTCTGGAATGAATACTAGAAGGCCCAGCTGATTTGAAAACATCTTATTTATATCATAAACTTCTGTATGTAATGTATATATCTAGTACTTCAAGGGCCTAAATAGTATTTAGGGAAGCACTTGCTCTGTGTTGCCAGTAGAATAAAGATGGCTTTCATCATCAAGCCAAGTAATTTATGGTTGCTATAAAGCAAATTGTACATGGAAGAAACATGCTTAATAATATTGGAGGACTTCAACTAATCACCTCAAAGTATGAAAAATCAATCAGTATTTAGACAAAAGAAAAGGAGAAAAAGTCATTCTAATTTCTCTTGTCAACTAGCTACCAGTAAACAAACACTATAAATCAGCTTGGATCAAACTGCACTCAAAGCTCTCTTCTCTTGTTCTTCCATTTTAACCTGACCAAAACTTTGCCTGTTGGCTTAATGGTGCAGAGACAAATCAATGGTGACAGCCTGAATCGCAGAGTAACACAGCCTCTTAACAGAAGCACAGATTTTTTTTGCCTCACTGTAAACAGTGCCAGAGAAAAGTCCTGCCCAGGAATTTTTGCAATGAAGGATTTCTAACAAAAATCAATATTCTTACCTGTTGCAAACTGAGAATGAGCGTCTTTGCACACTGGATTTTATCAATTTGCCTTGTTTTGCTCAGGGTTTCCTTAATGATATCTCCATAGTCATTGTAGTACTAGGAAAAAATGTGGGGAAAAATCCTCTTTAACAGGAATTCTTACACAATATTTCAGGTTTTTTTTCTGATTACTTCTAGTTCTTCTTTTGAAAAGGCAGCAGTTTAAAGAAACAATAAAACCATAACAGTTTCAAACCCAGATTTCCTGGATGAGTGGAAGGCAATGTTTCTGTACGAAAATTCAAGCTGACTAGTCACCTGCACCTGGTGATAAGGGACTTCTTTATTTGTTATCACCTGTGTTACATCTTCTGTAACAAATATGTTGAAAAACAAACAAAAGAGCATTTCCTATCCCAAACTAAACGTTTGATGAAAGTGAGCTGTGGCTGAAAATTATAAGAAGCAATAACTGATTGAACCTATACATTATTGAACAGATAGTTACAAACAGAAGGCCCATGGTGAGTTAGATGGCCATCATTCACTGAAGCCAGAAAACTGAATAAGGAATTAGTTAATATGAAGCACTGGTTCATTCTTCACACTGAATGAGGAATGACTGCTGAGAACTACAGCCTGCATAATCATTAAAACTTTGGGCTGAAAATCTAAACTTTTTTTTTCCCAGTATTCTTTCAGCTTACCTAACCCTTCTGCATTTGCAACCATTTGTTTTCATTCCCTCTCAAGTTTTGTTCTTACCTTCTTTGCTACAGAATTCATCCTAGTTTGCATTCTAAATTCAGTTTCTCTCCCTAATCCCTTATTTCAAGAGAAAGAGAGGAAAAAAAAAAAAAGAGTAGCAGCAGGCAAGAAACTAAGTTAGAGTGTGATAGCTTCATCTTGAAACTGCTGCTCTGTCTTCTCTGGGATGCCTGATCTCTTAGAGAGAGACAAGTGGGGTACACCTAGCAATCTGATATAAGCTGAGGGGCTTGGTACCAGAAGTGCTATGTGCATGCTTACCAGCAGATAGACATGCAAGGAGAGCGTAAAGTGGCAGCTGTGTAGCAAGTCCTTTTGAATCCCTTTGGGACTAAATATTGCAGTGTCCGTTGATAAAATACTCAGGTACTGCATATCTACTTACAGCAGTACCTCACTGCACTTTTTTACTGCATTCCTGTTTAAAACAATCTCTTCCCACAGAAAAAAAGCCTGCTTCCCTGCTAGGCTGAGAGTCTCAGTGAAATTGACAAACAACTGTTATTGTGGATTCTAGGAATTAATTTGAGGAGCAGGATAAGAAATTCTCTGTAAAGGTAAGTCTGAAATACTCAGCATCTTGTAGGACCAACCATTGCCTTTAGTAAAGCTCTCCTTATGTAGAAAGGCTAGTTCAGACACCTTAGAGCTTCTCAGTGACAGGTGTAATTTAAAAGGGAAAAACTAGTACAGAGATCAAACAAGGCTGGGAAAGCTTTCAAGTGGTCAGTCTTTTAACAACTGGACTGCAAGGGGGAGAAGCAAGTAACCTGACACTACAGTCTACAATTCTCTTAGCAGAAGCAGAACACACTGAGCCGTACCTTCATATAGTGTTTGAAGATATCAGCTGCTGCATGCATGTCCACAATGTCATAAATTATCAGCTTGCTAAAGGCAGCCAGAAGGTTTCTTCTCTTATGTAAAGCTTCTATTTTGTTAGCTTCATCTTCTTCATCTCCCTCTGAAAGCATCAACAATAAAATTATTACAATTGCCTGTTATTTTCTAGAGCAACACTATTAAAGAGTAGTGTTCAGGAAAAAAGTCAAATGGAAGCAAGTATTGTTGCAAGAGAAACTAAAATGAAAGATGATTACTCTTGAATGTTAGGACCTTCAGGGAATTTGGGAATTTCAGGAAGATGACACCATTCACCAAGGATGCTGTAGTCCTGAACAATACTGAACGCAATCCATGTGGAACTGAATCACTGATTTCCTTTACCCTGTGAAAGGCTGCAGTGAAGAGCTGTTGAATGCTTTATGCTTAACTTCTGGACAGTTTTTTTTTCAGACAGAAACTGAAGGACAGTTGGACATACTTCTTTAACATGACTAATCTATAAATGTTTCATATGAGAAGAATTAGAAACCAATACTTGTACTGCATGCCTTGGATTTGTAGGTATGAATTCTACAGCTCTAAAGCAGCAATAAACAACAGGAAATAAAATCCAGTTGTAAGAAACATTGAGTGCTAATGTCTTAAGCACTAAATCTCTATATAGGTCTCCACTCTGAATAAAAATGAAAACTATACACATAAAATGTGGAATACATGATCATACAGTAAAACTGTACTACACAATTTACAGAAGAAAATGCAATCAGCTATAACTGTGATAATAGCAAATACCACGTATTTAGTAGAGAGCTTGTTTTTTTTTTGTTTTTTTTTTTTTAAAGGGAATGTCCTGACCAGCTTGAATTAAAACAGATCTGTATAGGGGTCAGAAGGGACACAGCATTGCTGAGACTCTCTTGCTTCGCTCTTACTGTATTCTCCACAAAGCCAGTGTGTATAAATCATGTATTTTATAGTAGGAAATCTTTTACAAGCAGTGTAATTGACTGTAGGTACACCTTAATCCTTAGAACTGAAGCATCCTCTCATTTTTCTTCATTTCTTTTTGTAGTTATAATATATTCTGGATACCAAAAGCTGTAAATTGTTAGACTGACTTCATGGAGTTAAGAGCAGTATTTGGGGATGCAGATTACACACAAAGATCTTCATTCACCTTTTTGCTGTCTTCCCAGTCCTATTACAGGATGTTAAAAAGCAGTAACACAGGAGAAAAATAAATATGTCCTCTTAAAATATGCCCTTTATTTATTATTCTGATCATTGAGCTCACAAGGTACAATTAACTTACACTGTGTACTTCTGATGAAGTTCTGTTTCAAAATGCATTCTTTTCTGGCTACTGTAATCCATAAAGAGATGTTCAAAAAGATGCAAGCTAGTGGGGAGCTAGTGAGCTAGAAGACTCAAAGCATCTCAAAAGCAAGAACAAATTCTCTGATACCTTAGTTCTATATGCTACTGTCTGAAAAGATCAAAACCAGCACCTGTGTGCCATGCAAACTTACAAGTAACTGAGTTCAATGAAAATTCAGAAAATGTGCTGAAAAAGCACTACAGTATGCATTCAGCAGCTGTTCCATATTTATTAGTTTTTTTTAGTTTTTCTTTTTTTTTTTTTTTTTTGGACTTTCCGGGATTCCTTCCCCTGTCCAAAGCTGTTTAGGATTCAGAAACTGGGAGCCCTGTGTACGTATTTAGGCATTTGTAATGCACAGTAGTGGCAATGAGTTATTTAAAAACAGATCCCAATGACAAGTCTGTCCTTCCAGGACTGAAAGCAAACAATCTTGTCATCCTTCTGAGGAAGCAGAGGCCTTACCTACTGCCTCTCAAAAGCACGGCCACACAAGGATGCCTAAGAAATAACAAGGACACAAGCAAACATACACAATACTTCAACTATTCTGGTCTCCAACGACTTTCAAATCAAGAATCCTGAGCTTTATTTTGAAAATTTTAGTATTTCAGCATTTTGAAAATAAAAAGATTAAAAAAAAAAAGACAACCAGTTTTGTACAGATTAATAGCATGTTGTTTACAGGCTGCTTCCTCGTTCTGTAGTCACCTGGTCTTATGAAGTGAACTTTGTAACTACTTTTTAAGACACACAGCACTGAATGCTTCATACGCACACTTACCCCTCGTCCTCCTAAAATCATGGAAGGAACAATTTTGAAAACATTTTTGAGTAAACTGATCTGAAAATTCTATTTTCCTCTTTCTTCTGCATCTGTTATGGAAAAAAAGCTAAGTAGAAAACTTGAAAGCTAAACGTACCCATGCTCTGGTTTTCATCATCTTGGTCAATGAAGACATGGTCCATCACAAAACTGAGAAGTTCTGACTGGAGGCCCGAGTCTGGATTAAACACCAATGGCTGAAGACCTTCACGCCCTCCAGTCATCAGCTGGTGACTAAAAATCATCAAGAGATCACAGAGTAGCATGAAGGCCTGAAAGGCAAAAGAGATATAAGAAAAATAAGAAATGTAAGTCAAGTAAGTAAAAACCAAAATACCGTTTATCTGATTTGTAGATATTCTCTCCTTCATCTCCTTTAACTAAACTGAGTTATGTATGTCTCTGTGCTGTGAGGAGTGTTCACTAGGGGTTAGTTTTAAAATACTACATCTCTTATTCCTACATAGTGAAGTCTGTTTACTGATGTTCCATGTCCAGGATGAACCATACTACCATACTACCTTCCAACCCCTACAATTCTGTGATACTAAATTTCCATTTCTTCTCCGTGGGAAGAACTGTAAATCTCTTTCTACTCCAAGGACTGCATTAAAGAAAAAAAACACTGCTTTAGATAGACAGTTAAAAAAGTTAAAGAAGAGGAAAAGTACGATCTGCTTAGACTTTGGACACAGGTGCCAGTATTTGGGATTTTCCTCTACAGTACCTGGAAATCTGGGATTCATTTCAGTCATGACCTGTCTGCTCTAAACTGCTAATCCTAATGTTCACCTCTAAAAAAGAAAAATACACTTCTAGAAAGAAAAAAATATGCACTGAGAGTGGTTTTTTTTTTTTTTTCTTCTATCCAAGATAAAGACAGCACAGGTAACGATGATGATTTACTGCACACGTCTGGTCAGAGATTTATTTCTCGCAGTCTAAAGAAAATTTGGGATGTTTCAGTTCTGTTTCTAAACTTTACACTTTCTTCTCTGCTTGAAGATGCAATTGATCTGTGCTGAGAATAATGTACAGATTAAGGAGTAAACGTACAAGAGAGAAAATGTAACATGAATTCTCAAAAAAAAAAAAAAAAAACCCCAGTAAAATTAAGGAAGAGTTTCCTGCATTTGCAGAAACAGACTCTTTAAAAAAAGGAAATTAAAAACATCATAGGTGAATTAGGTGGAAGGGATCTCTGGAGTCTGAAGTCCAATCTATTCTGACTGGGACTCTTGCTGTCTCTATTTCTGGTTGGTCAAAGCCTTGAAAACTTCCAGAGAACAGTGGAAAATTGAAAAGGAACTTTAAGAAAAGCTGAAATTATCAGTGAAGAAAAAAAACCAACGCACAACAGAATAAGAGAATTAACAACATTTTAAAATATATCAAGAACAAAACCAATGCAGGAATGTAAGAATCATTTACAATTTGTTGATGCAGAACCAATATTAGAGCTACCTTATGCTACAATGGTTGATATTTTCATGAAGCTAGATGCTATTTTCACACTACACAATATTAATAAAATGTGTTCTATATCAAGAGTAACTATTCAGAGTACTTAAAATAATTATTAATCTACTGGAAGACAGTGATACCTCAGAGTCCTGTAAAAATACATAAGTCTCTGAGCCTTTAATATTTCTATCAACTTGCAGAAGACAGTATAAAAGCCAAACAGAGCTATCTTTCAAAAACAGAAAACAAAAACCAGTCTCTGTTAAAAAGTATTACCTTTTAAAAAACACTAGTACCTGTGTGCCATTTAATTAGTCTTGGCAAAATCATGGAAGTACCGATATAAAAAAGCAATTTGCAGACAACTAAAAGATGTCAACAGACCTGATATAAATCAGCAAATGTAAAAATGTGAGCAAATACACCAGCTACTGTTTATTGCAGAGACTGCAAATTATTTCAATAAGTGCTTGGATTTAATTTCTTTAATTACAATTTCTAAATACACATAACAGAAGTTTCCCAATCCATGCATGTGTGGCTTTCCAAAAATTGAACACAGATAACTGAATAACTACTTTGAGCCATAAAAAAGAGAGGAGACCTTGCTATTATCATGTTTTGTATGTGTACTTTGGCATACGTGTGCTCTCATGCCCATGCAGACAGATGCATGCACATAAAATTGCAAACAGCTTTTTGAAGAAGCACAGCAACCTGTGCTGTAATTTCTACATTCTTGAAAATCTAAAGAAATCCTCCTCCTGATATTTATTTAATGAAGACACTATGTAACTGGATATTTTACTATGATTTATTAAGAAGGCATAACTATTTGTCAAGTAACTATTTTTGCATAGTGTGAAATTAAATTTGTAGCGTAATTCAGAGTATTTTTGTAAAATTATTTAGCATTCTTTTCCTGCTAGAAAGCATACATAAGAATGACCTGTACTGCTAGAAGCCTCAATTTTCTCCAATTAACCACCATGGGGAACAGACACAATAATTAGCATTTACTGCTATATTTAATGGAATTATTAGGATGACAAAATAATTAAATATTGAAGCTCAGATTTTTTTCCCCAATCTAACATCAGGCATTTGATTTGTGTAGGAAGGCAGTTGCTCTAGATTCCCCAATACTCAATGCAAGGGAAAAAAAAAAACTAAAATCCAGAAATATACACAGATTGAGCCATCTGAGGTATGAATCATCCTCTAAAAGTGCCTGTTTACATCTGCTAATACACTAGTTAGGAAAAGGAGTGGACTTCAATTTTAGGTGATTCAGTTAGACACCTACAGTTAAGACAGCTGAACGTGGGCCTAAGCATCTATTGTTATATCTAAAATGAATTGGGTATTAGCTGTACTTTGAAGGTGATTTTAATAGTTCTGTTGGGTCAGTTTTACTTAAAGGAAAATCATGTGTGCCTTCTAAGTTTGGTGTGGTGTCATCTTGAGTTTTACTACAGTTTTTAACATTCACACTCCAGTAAGAGCATGTGACAGACATTTCCTTTACCTGTTCCTTAACTGGGGTGTTGACATTCGATAGACACTGCTGGCAGACAGCCAGAAAGGATTTCACAGTTTTCCTCAATACCAGCAAGTCCTCCTAGAATAAATATTAAAAAGGGATAATATGTAAGTATCAATAAAAGGTTGCTAAGAAAAAAGCATAAAATGGTGATAATTTCCACACATTCAACCCCATGAGCTAGTAAAACAAAAAGTAAATGTATGCAGAGTAAAACAAATCATTAGTCTTCAGAGGAATGGCACAAGGTTTCCCTGCAATAAATACTAATAATAAAACAATACATCTCTGGGTTACTCTTATCTGCATTTTATATTGGATGTAAATTATAAATGTTTTAGAAGAAAAAGATCAATACATCGAGGTAAGCCCACCTGGTAGTTTAAAAGTAATTCTGTATGTAGATAAATCAACATGAACAAAAAACATCAATGAGCAATCTCAAATTCAACAAAAACATTATCCTAACTGCCTGCAGACATGCGAAATGTGAAGGCACATGGCAGAAATTTAATGACATGGGGAAGGAGGTTTGCTGATCTAGAGAAAGGAGGATTTGTGGGTAGAAAAAATAAATATGAAAATATACATAACTTGACACCTATTTAAATAGTTACTCTGTTCACATTAGGAGCAAATTCAACACAGAGAGGAAAACAGGAACCACAAACCACTGGAACTTATGTTAGCCCCAAGTTTTGTCAAAGAGGACCAGCTTTGTCAGCACTGACTCACAGATTCTGCTACCTCTGCGTTGCTCAGTGATACCAGCAAAGCTTCTGCCCTGTCTGGCAGCATTTCTGATGTGTCTGCAGCTACTTCAAAGATCTTTTACCTCCCTGTTTTCACCAGAGATTTCGTGTAAAGAAGGGATTTAAATTACAGCCATTAATTCTCACTGAGACTGCTGGCCTGTCACTACTGCTGACATTTTGTGCGTGGTATCTGCCTGTATCAACTTTCAGATAGAAGACATGTCCTACAGAACATCCAAACAAAATCTAAAGATCCCATGTAGTACATAAGCAACATTTTCCCTGCCAAAAATTCTGATTTTTGATTTTGCTGTCTCTTCAATCCATGTGTCTCATTTCTAGTTTTAGCTTCTTTTATTACATCCTATAGCAAGATCTCATTATTCCCTGTTTACTGAAAAGCCTTTTTGTGGTCCATATGTTCTTTCTGTACTGAATTCACAACAGAAGGCAGGTATGCAAATGCACCTAAGCAGCCCACAGGTTCCTAGATCTCTGAACCTCTTTATTTTCAATAGAGTAAGAGTGGTTTTCTGATCTAGTCTCTAAAGATCTATAAGCTACATCACCCTTTTACTACTAATAATTTTTCTCTCTTAATCCAGGCAAAGATCCCTTTCTGCAACTGCATTACACTACGATTACATGACCTACAAGGTACCTCTGGTCTCTTCTAAGTGACAAATCTCTAGTGATCAGCCTTCTTGTTCCCAGACATGCCTTCTATTTGGCTGCCTCTGAAGCTATTACATCGGGATCATTTCCCAGTGTCAATTTTTATCTAATCTATTAACCACTTCTTAGCTACTGAATATGACTTACATTAAATACACGCATTCAGCTGTACTGCAGTGTGATATTAATGTCTTATAGAAATTGGTATTACAAAATAGTGTCTTCAACAGCCAAAAATGCAACTTCCTCAAGTTTATTTGATCCTTCTGGTCTTTTTTGTTGGCCATATTTGTTCAGCCTTCTACTGACTGTTTTCCATCAGCCATCCCAAGAGTTTACCTAGCACTGATAGCACACTTATCAGTTTGCTGTGACACGATCATCTGGCTTACACTTTTAAGTATTACAATCACTTTCATTTCTATCCATAGCAACTACTTTCCAACGTAACACCTTCCATTTAAATGCTAATGATTGAAAAGAGAAACTAAAAACCTACAAAAAAAAAATTTAGAAATTGAATGCCTCTCATTTTTCTTGCTGTTGAAGTCTGAATAACACCTAGCATACACTATTTATTATCCTCTCTTGATAGCTCAACAAACATTTCATTTTAAAAGTACAGACATCAAAAGAAAGCCTCACTGAACAGTGCAACAAAGCCATCTGGAACTTCCTAAAATTGGAGAAATCCCCAGACTGCTGTAGAGTGATAATGTAGTTGTTGGTTTGTTGTTTTTTTTTTTTTTAAAACAGAAAATGGTATGGAAGAAAACAAATTATATTTTCAAGTCTTTTTCCATTCTAAGGCACACAGCCAAGGTTCTTGAGGTGTGATTACAAGAGATGCTGGCTTCAGCAGAAAAGCTGGCACAAAATATGTACTGTCCTTTTGGTTGCTAGGCTAAAATCATGAAGTCACACTGTTAACTGGATTACTGAAGAGATGTATGATAAAAATAACTCACTCTTGAACTATACAACTAATATCTTAAAATGTAACCAGCACATGGAACGAGAACGAGCCACTAAAAACTAGGACTTGAACTGATTTTGCCACCAGCTGTAACTGAACAACTGTTTCCAAGACATCAGAAATTCTTCAGTTATTTTCTAGCTTAAAATTGAAGGTTTTTTCCCCACCACTGAAGACAATGAGAAATACTGTAGTTTTGCTAGTTATTGTTTTTATTCTTATTTTCTTTCCTCTAAACTACTTCTGTGAAGTATTAACTTACTTCTTCCAAACCCAACTCTTTAACAAACTTCATCATGTTCAAGAGCTGTTAGCATTCAGCTCCTGTGCAGAACACAACCCAACCTTCTGCACCCCTCACACTTCAGCATTTTGTGCTTTCTTTCCTTGTGTCCACAGTAATATGAAAAGCCTCCAAGTCACTATGTTCTTCTTTAAATCCTTTTAAAATCCTCTCTACTAATTCATCTGCCTACTAATCACTTAGCAATAGCTCTGCATTTGGCTGGTCTGGCTGCAGCTCATTCAGAACTCTCTTACTTTTGACTTGCCTCTGAATGCTTGTTCTATTCCTGCTTTTTTTTTTTTTTAAACTGTTGTAAGACTTTGGATTCTATTCTTCTGCAGATATTTCCTTTTCACTACATATATGTACATTGCATAATTCAATGGCCCCAGGCACCTGGTTGTTGAATACGTGCAGAAATCTAGATGGAAAAAACAGCTGCTTCCCAACACTTGTTCCCCAAGATCTACACATTTTCAACTGATTTTCCTTTGAAACCACCTTAATGCCCCTTTACATCTGAAGAATAGTTTTTCTCTAGGACATCACAGACTGTTCCTGCAAACAACACAGTATAAATCTCTTCCCCTCTGTGCCATGCTGCCTACCACAAAGAGCACTGCTCTGCTAAGCCACAGCCCCCACTCATAGCTTCAGCCTCCTCTGAGCTCTACAAGAGCAAGGACAGCGATTAGAGTACTGGGCTGAGGATGCCTCAAGCCTTATGCCTGTTATCCTGACCCACTGTAACCTTCCTTTTACTCATCGGTGCTTCCTGTAAGATTTTAGACACCAAGAGGATCCAAATGGATGCCACTGATTTCAACAGATGTCATTCCTTCTCCCTCCCACCCTGCTCCCAGGCCAACTGGACAAAAGTGTTTTAAAATAGCTCTGCCTCACCTCTATTCTGTCTTTAAGTCAATTGGAGGAATTGTATTTGGCAGCAAATCTGGACTTTCTTATTAGTTCGAATAACCTGTAGTTACAGCTATTCCATTCAAATGTCTTGAAGATTTTACACTGTACTGCTTTTGTAGGCACGGTGATTGGAACTGGGATGTGCAAATAGTGTAACACAGTGTGAGGGGACCTGCAGAGAGTCCTCCTGGTAACGTGGTCTGGATAAACAACAGCTGATATGATGAGATCATGAGTGCAGCCCTGCGTGTGAACAGAACAACCAACGTGAACTGCTCTGCAGGGGTGTTTGTCTAAAGAAAAAAGATAATGCTGGGAGGAAGCTAGCAGTGAAGTCTGCTTAAAACCACCATATGAGATTACCAAGAAACTTTGAGAAAAGTCACTTTGAAAATAGGTATAACAGAATCATGAAACCTTATGATTATGGAGTCACCTTGGTGTGGAACAGAGTGGCACCCATCGCTGCGATCACTGCCTAGGCTGGCTGTACACCTCCCTGCCAGCAGCCTGCACTCAGCTGAAGGAATCTCACTCAGCCTGGGGTGCAACACAAATCCCACACCTCCAGTACATACGACTCTGCAGGTGCTTTATCAGACTGCAGCAAGTGGCATGGATACACATAAAGCTGGAGCACCCTCCTGTCCAACAGGGGCCATGCTTAAGTAGAGGATCTCAAGCTCCCAGAAGAAGGCAGTGAACTTGTATGTCCCTCTTCCTATGAAGGCAACTGTACATGTCTAAACGTGTGTGTGTGTTGGGGAGGAGATTAAAATCAATTGCAAATAGTTACAGAAGGACACTTCATGTGTTCAGAAGCATTTCTCAAGCGTCTCGTATTGTGGTTTACCTGCTGTATTGGTTATACTGATCCTGGAGACGTATTTAATTGACTGCATGTTAATTATGTGTCTTTAATGAATCAATAAGCTACCACAACCCTAATTTGATTTAGATTACAAGAATTAAACGGGTTTTCTCTGCCACACATACGAAGCCTAGAGACTAGCACACCTAGCCTCATGTAGCCAGCCAGAATCCAAGACATGCCCAGCAGCTGTAACACAGAACATCCCTCAGAAGGCAATGTGCTGCAGCTTAGGCACAATGCCCATCACAGTAATCAAAACAGGACATTCCTTTTGGGAGAGAGGATGCCTGTCTGAATACCAGATAAATAACAACTTAATCCTACAAAAGATTCTGTTCTCAATTGTATCTCCCTGGTTGTCACAGAATGGTTTGGGTTGGAAGGGACCTTAGAGATCATCTAGTTCCAGTCTCCCTGAGACAGACAGGGACACCTCCCATTAGAACAGATTGCTCAAAGCCCCCCATCCATGTACAGCCTGACCCTGGAACAAAATTATTAACAAAATTATTTTCAATGTTGAACTCTGCTCAAATAACTCACTTTGAAAGAGCAACAGACTAACTAGTATTTATGAGTATGAATTCACACCAGTGATCACCTAGTCACGGATGAACAATTCTTATAAATCAAACTCTACCTCTGATCTCTCAGTCTGGATGCTCAAGAGAAATCTTAACAAAAAAAAAAGTCTTCTAAACATGAGCCTGGTAATAAAAATTCATAAAACTGTTGGGTACTAAACAAAGGAGGACTTAGATAAATTAGTTTTATAGTCTATCATGAATTTCTCATTTCTGCAACAATTATAGGTTTCTCCCTACTAGCCTTTTCATCTCTACCTTCTCTTGTCCTTACCACTATCCAGCTCTCACTTCCCCCCTAATAACAGTCCTATCACCTCTCCTTCCCTTGCTCCCACCCTCCTAATAGGTATCAGTGACCCTCCTCTTTTCTTTTAGAGGAAACTTACATGATCTGTATCCATACAGAAACCATGAAAATGTTCCCACTTTGTACTGTGATCTTCTGTTATTTCAAACTTGAAGGGCTCACGTACCCAAAATCCTATCTAATTTTTACAGCTATTACCACTGCTCTGCTAAAAATACCAGTTCAGCCTACAAAGCATCACCTTTACGTGTCCTTAGATTATTACAGCTATAGCAAAGTATGACTAGAAAGCTGAATGAACCTGCATATTAATATACTGTGTCAGAAATATACCTTTAAGAGCCCAGATAACTAAAAAACGCTCATCACAGAATTGTAGGGGTTGGAAGGGACCTCCAGAGATCATCGAGTCCAACCCCCTAATGAAATACACCATCCTTCATTCTAATGCATTTCCTATTAAAGGCTTTGTCTTCCCATACATCTTACTTCCAAAGTGATTCCCTTTAATGCCTGCTAACTCATAAGCCTAAATCATGGCAAACAGCCATGGACAAAATGAACTCATAATGACTTAATGGACAGATATACTGCATCTGGATTTATTTTCACTGTCAACAAATGAAAATTAAAAGTTTGATAGAAAAAAACAGAAAAAAAATGCTCCAACTACATCAGGTTTGTGGATTTCTCTTTAACTTGTTTCTGCTGTGGGCAGGAAAGTACACTTATTACGATAGATTTCATACTTCAATTTGGTGTGTTACTTCTGAAAACGTCCTAAAAGATCAGACGGTGGCCTCTAATTGAGAAATTGTTATGGAAAGGTTCTGAAAATACTAAATATAATGATTAAATTACACGTAATATTGTCTTTATTGCATTACACTTGCATGCATTTGCCTTTTATTAGTAACTGTCACTGCTAGTAACCCTATATTTAGCAACATGAAAGATGTACCTAAAGGCTAAACAAGGTAAACATACAGAAATATTAAGCTATATGTGATGTACAAACCATTGGTATTGCTTGCAATTATTAAATAAGCATTGTTAATTTTACCTGTTCATACTAGCTCTTATATTCAGATTAAATACATTCAGCAATAAAAACATAAAAGTCAACTAGTATCAAGTCCTGATAAAGACAAGCTTCTGCTATTCATATAGTTTATTCAGACATACGTGTGATACTAAATACACCTTAAAATACTAAGCAAGTCAAAATGCAAACATTTTCCACCAGCTTCACAGTGGCATAAAATGACTGTACACTGTGTGGAGTTGCAGAGAATCAGGTCTAATGCCTGTTAAGTTCTGTTTCAGCAAAACTCGTGTGATCAAATGTCTACTTACTTTGGAAGGGGAACCTTCAGTGATTTTCACCAGCTGCCAGAGAATAGAGTAATGTGAACACTGCAGTGCCTGAACAACTATCTGTAACACAGACAACACAAAGAGTCTAAGCATGATGGAAATAACAAACTGTATATAAAACTTATACCATATTTTGCGGACAAAAAAAAAAAGCAGCTCTAAGGAAGTATTTTCTGTTTTTGAGGACATCATTTTCCTTATTGAGCTTAGTGCAATAAGAAACTAGCCCATTATGGATGGAAATTTAGCTGGGAAACAAAGCAGAAAAAATTGTGCATTAGAGCACAGTAATGGGCGTAAACACAGCATGACAGAGGTACAACCCAACGCCTGCATACCCCAGTTCAAAAACATTGGCTTAAATACCTCTAAATCTTACTGCATGAGTAATACAGTCTAGAACATGAAGTCCAATTAAAAAAAGAAGAAAACAAACAGTAATCCAGGACAACACAGGACATGTGTTTGTGATGCCCACAAAAGCATCAATGTCTTCTTACAATTTCAGTTCTATAACAGGTGCTGAAAATCCCAAAACCTTTTCAGCATGAAGGTACTCTGAATGGTTTGTGCTTCTGTGCACAGTAAATCAAGTTTGTAACAGCTCTTAGCTGCTTCACAAATTACTTTTCTGAAGGATATTACTAAAGGTCCAAACTATTCCTATTCAGCAAACTTATAGTGGTCTGAGGAAAGACCATACTTTCATACTGAGGAGAGTTAAAGTTTCAGAATCTTTTTCCTAACATCCTAGAGAAGTAATCTGAGAGGTAGCAATAAGTTGGGATACAGAAGTCAGTCTCAATTATGGCTCCATCTACTTTCACCAAACTTGGCTGTGAGAAAAGCCTCAGAACCTCCCAACACTTCCTTTCTAAAAAAGGCTTCTAAAAATAGACCAGAATTGCATGACTTTTTTTCTAACTAACAGCTGGCTTCCAAGAGAAATGAGAATATAGCTTAAATACTACAGTAGGCAGACTACAGTTTAAGCTGAAAGCATTCTGAGAGAATCTGAAATGTCTCTGTGCTCAGTGGTGCCTTTATTGAGAACGCTAAGAAAACAGAAGTCCAGATCATATCTACTGAAAGAGCCTCACTGGAAAGGTTGGCCAGCATCCTTGCTAAGTGTTTTTCCAGTTTTCATAAGCCCTCATCTTACCTTCAATGCACAATAATTGCAATAATTTGAATCACAGCCAAGGTTTACAAATGATGGGTTCCTGTATAAAAAGCATGATTTATGCAGTGCTTGTCACAGCCAGGGCGTGAGTTACTCCTTGCTTTAAATGAGAAAGGTGAAGCAAGTAGTTCAAAACCACACTGAGTAAAAAAGAAACAAGATCAGATTTTCTCCCTCCTGAAAAATGTTTAACTACAAGAATAACTTCACTTAAGGTTCTGTGACTTTCCTAAATAACTGATGCCTATCTCCATTTCGAAACTCTTGTAAACACTGAGTCCCCAAAGATGCAATACAGGTGTTGCTAACGGTACCTGTTCTGGCATAGCTCCATGTTCAATTCCAGTTCTTAGTAATCTGTAGCAGTTACTGAACAGATCCCATTTTGTGAGATCATGAGCACTAAAACAAGACATAATAAAGAGAGAGAGATTAGTTGTATTCCTTGAAACTCCATCTTGCAGCAGGAATATAGTCTGACCTGTCAGCTCAGTGAGCAGTTTGGCATTTTTGCAAAGCAGAGACAATACAGCATACTGACAAGGCAGCTGCACAATTAGTTCACACCATGTTAAAACCAGAAGTTAGGCTTTCAGATGACAGAGGAAAAGAAAATGTTTGCCACATTGGATTTTTGTCGCTAGGAGATAAACTCGATGCATACCATGCAGCTTTAAATGTTACTTAAGAGTAGCTACAAGCTCCTTCTCAGTGTTGCCCTCTAAGTCATTTTTCCTGCTGTGTTCTAAATATTGACAGAATTTCAGAAGGCACTTCTCTGGCATGGCAGCAGAAACTATGGCCAAACTGCAGTTATACTGCATGACTAATTGCTCAACAGTTACATAATCTTCTGCCTCATCATTTGGCAAATAACTGCATACGTTATCACTAAATACTGAACATCCTGAAATCTCCAAACCAAGAGCAATATACATGTAATCAAGACTGAGGTCATGTTAACCATTCATTCCATTCAGTATTTCATATTACAGCTGTACCAACCTGATTTGCTGGGAAGAGAAATACAGATGAGATTAGCAACAGAAGTTTTAGTCTTACACACCTCAACAGCTGGTGTTACAGGTTCATAGTAAAAAATTGAGAAATATTAAAAGAAACATATGGTAACCTGAAGAATTATTTTTCACAATAAATTTAGGTTTTGCAGTAGAGAGAAACTGAGAAAATTTGAAACTGTCTATAAAATGTTTATAAAAGAGCAATCCCCTCAAAACAATAAAAAGACAATAATTAAAATACTCACCTTGAAGAAGGGATGCTCTGACTGAACCGGCAAGTCTAAAGTAGATAAAGCAACCTCATCCATCTGTTTCCCTTTCATCCCAGTACTTCGATCAGTAAGATATGCTTACTTTTCCTATCCTCTGCTTTTGCCCTGTGTTGGAGCTGCCTGACTTTGTTTAAATAATTAACTACCCTGCTCAGTGAGAAAGAGTACTTCCCTGGTTCTGAGATGAACAGAGGCTGAACCAGGAGCTTCAAGATCCTGCTGAGAACCCAAGTATGAAATCCTTTCCCAGTCTGGACTGTGTTGGTCCCACAACATGGAAAACCTCTCTGATAAGTGTTAAGATTTCAGTGAACCTTTTATGTCCTTCAGCTGAGAACAAGTGAAGTACACCCAGTGCACACTCTAGAGTTATGCCATTAAGTGTCTTGGAAGTAAGGAAACAAAATGTTTTATAGACAATAAAACAAAAATTAAAATAAAATTTTAATAGACAAATTATCGACTGCCAGGGAACTGCCTCTTACTAGTGAGTGATATTAAGCACAACAATTCGCTTTACAAGCAGCCTTGTGATTTGCTAAAGCAGGAGTTGTACCTCCTTAATTACAACACTGTAATTAAAGCAGTGAAATCTCCTTGGTGTGCAGAGGCAGGTATCTGAATAGATTATTCTACAGAGAATATGAAAGAAAAACTGCTCCCGTGTCTGCCTTTCTACTGCAGAGCCCTTCACGTCAGGGATGGGTGGCAGCAAGCACCCCTCACTGCTTTGACAGCTGGGGGCACCTCAGCTTTTTGCTCAGAGCCTGGCCTTACAACTGTCCTCTGGAGGAGCTTTCCAGCTTCCAAAGCTGAAAAGTACTAATACAGATTATCACTGCAAACTTCCTTAAAGAAAAGCTTCCACAATTAATTTAGGCATATTCTTGTTCATTTTTCTCTGTTTTGAATTATTCAGAAATTAAAACTGTATCAAAGAAGATACAGTGGACGCAACCCCATCCTTCACAGAGGTTCAGACTGTGCAACATAGAGGCTCCAAGAATGAAAAGTCATATGACAGCTTTTTCTCTACCTTAGTCTTTGTGGAGTACAGAAAGCAAGGCCCAACACTTCAAAGGAGGTTTCTTTTCATCTTTATGGTAGCATGCCTACCGGGGCATATTTCTACTAGAAAGTAGTTAGATGAAGTGAAAGAATCATTTCCACAGTGTTTCCAAAAGCGTGGAAAGAAACAGCCTACAAAAATGCCTGTTAGATAAAGTGATCTGTCCATCCTCAGACCTTCACTCTTTTTAGAGCAGCACAAAGAAAAAGAAGCAATACCTTGGGGTATGAACAGCTCTGCAAGATGCAGTCTTACTTCTCTGAGAATTAAGAAATCAATCTTTTCTTCTCTTTCTAGAGATAATGAACTTCTAAATAATACAGTCTGAAGGAATCTATAATGGGAACATGTCTATCTAATATGACATGTTAGTTCAACTACTGGAAAGTTACTATAGCCATTGCCTGGCATATTTTATGAAGTCAGCATGGGGCAGGAAGGAATCAAATTCTGTATTATATTTGAGGACTACTGGGCAGCGATACCAAAAATCCTCATTTCTAAATGTGAAACAATGTTGTATACACAAGGACAGCATGAGAAGAGCACACCCAGTGGAATGGAGCTGATGTCTCAGTTTCATGTATCTTGCGTGGAATTACATGGAGCAATTCAGTAACAAATGCTGATAGAAAAATTGCTACAGCACTCATGATGAACTATGAAAGCTCAGCTGAATTAAGCCAGAGTTGGAATGGGAAGATTGTTTCCTTACATGAAAGCATAGAAAGAAATGCTATCAACGTCAGTGAGACCCTGGCAAAGACAAGAGACTTAGATATTTACCCTAGGTGTCTTATTCAGAAATCCTCAAAAATTTATCATTCCATTTTGAAAACTTGAAAGGGAACATTGTAATAACCAATTTTATTTGTACTGAAATGCTAATCCTTCCTTGATGGAAAGCTAGCAATTAAAAAGCATGCTGCAAGCCTTTCATTGACTAGCTTTCCAGCCTTTCCAAAACATCCATCTCCCATTGCACATTTCACTGTTCCAGCATGCAGAGATAGATGGTTTCTAGTATTGTGACTAGCTTCATTAACAAACTTGATTCATATTAGTTTAAGTGGAAGAAAATTGGGCAGCGAGTGTGATCTACAGAACATCTCCTCTGATCTTCTAAGCTTTTTAAGCTTATTCATTCCCACATGAAAATGCACAATAAAATGACCCTCTCCGAAAGAGGATTAACTCAGACTTGGGAAATCTCAGTACAGAAGCTTTTTTTGGTCTGGAAGGCTTTTCTGATAATCCCTGTCATGGTTTTTCCCACTTACTGGGTTTCTTTCTCCCAGAATATGAAGAAGTAGCAACGATGAAGGAAACAAAAGAAGGTACATTTCTCTCACTGGAAGAAGAGAGGGACTTGTTTCTATTCAAATCCTCAGCAAACGCTTTGCTTTGTCAGTGCAGTTTTATAAGACCTGAAAGGTATCAGTTGTTAGTGTATAATTTCAACTTCTTCCACTGCCTTTGGCTCCTAGCTGATGAGGGATAACAACAGATTCAGACAAGAGCCATCAAGATGAGTACGCTCAATGCAAGTTCTGAATTAAAGATCTTATCCTCATTAACTGAAGCTTTGACAAAAAGCTTAAGATTTGTGTTGTTTTCTTCAGCTTTCGCCAGTCATCTCAGGGATGGCAGAAGTGGCTCCACTGTGTTACCAGGGAGACCAAAAACCTAATTTGCACATCAGCCTGCTGCACTATAGAAATTAGTAACGATTTAATGATCTCTCTAGGACTCCTGATGAATGGAAATGAAGAGCAGATATTTCCGAATCATCTCGTACAGTGATTCAATACAGGATTTGGGACACCTGAATACTAAACACAGAAAGGAAAGAGAACCAGAACTGCAAATCCAAATACACTAGTGTAAAAGATGTGGCAGAAGCAAGATCCTCTCTAACACTGTGATAAGGAAGAAATTACTTCTGGCTCTCAGTCATCTACACACGAAGCTTTCCTACATGCTGACCAGAAGCAATTACTTCCTACAGCTGGTATATGGGGAAGATTAGGTCTTTGTCCAGACAACTGAAGTCAAGTCTTCCAGGTTTCTCTACAAGTCATTCGGGTGCCAATATGTCTAACTGAGAGCAGCAGAGCCCTGGGAAGATGCTGGCTGGTTCCAGCAGTCTCGTTCACCCTGCACTAAAACTCAGATAGTTAAAACTTCATAAGTCATGCAGGAAAGTATGACTTCTGTAGTAAAACACTCATTTAGTGCAAAGGAGGCTATGCCATTTGCAAATTAAATCTGTAAAATAGTCATTAACTAACCAATAACACTGATGAATCCGAAGAGCAGTTTGGATGGCGCTGAGAAGTGCCACCAGTCATTCATCAAACTCCATTTCTTATTTTAGACCATAAGTGTTCTCATTTCTTAACACCAGATCTCAACTGATACTTGTTGAAGTGACCATAAATTCTCAAGGGAAAAGACACATACTTGTGAAAAGACGTTAATCTCTTCAATGTGGAGAGCACATTGTATATGTCGTCATCATCAGCTTCTTCTCCCTGAAAATGAAGAAAATCCATGAAGGCAGTTCAGCAAGCCAACTGAGAGAATGTTACTGAATGGGAAGGAACAGATTTCTTTTAGGCTTTATGTTGACCACAAAACACAGTCCAAATTTTACAGTGAATTTTATCTACATTCTATAGTAATACTTAAATAACTACTGCATAGCATTAGGAAATCAGCAAGATCATCCAAAAATATGCAGCAGTATTACAACATTAATACTCAAGCAAGCATTTTCCAGTAATAGAAACCATTTCCAAGATAAAAATCCTAGTTTTATTCTACTTTACAGAAAGGACTGAACTGCAGTTTAACCACAAGCTAAAGAATGTGCCACGAGAACACAGACAAATGTTTGCCAGCAAATGTGAACAGCAAGTATTTTAAAATGATCAGTGGGAAAACTCCTTTGTTTTCTCATCCTTCATTGCTGCTCACTGGAATAAATTGTACTACGTGACAACCACGTTGCAAAGAATGACATACATTCAGCACTGGATGGAAGGTTTTTTCTTCTGTTATTTGTGTTTGACATTTTAAAATATCATTATTCCAATGTTAAATAGAAAATCAAGAGGAATTAAGGTACTTCTGAAACATAATTTTTCCAGCAATTTTCTGAAAGAGTAAATCCACTTAGAGCTATTCTTCTCCATTTTCTTTTTATCAATCAATTTCTTTCCAGCTATAGGCCAACAATTAAATTATCTCTCTGCTTTTAGATGCAAGTGCCAGTCAATGTTTCTCATTATCAACCTAGTGGGAAACCATAAAACAATGCTATACTTGCTTGAATACAAGCATACAAATTTGCAAATAAAAAAATCTCTTTGAAATGAGGAAATAAACTTAACTAAAATCAATTATTCTGCAACGAATCATTCAGTAGAGAATATCACAAAGGCCAGAGTTTTTTTTCTCTCTTGATTACTCTCATTTTTGTCTTCACATCTTTCTCAGTGTCATACATACATTTTTATTTTTATTTACTGCAAATAAAAATTTACTGTTTTTATTTACTCTTAATGACCAGCCAGTATGCATGTGCCATGTTACTTAAAGACAGAAAAAGATTTAATTTATTTAATACACAGTTCTAAATCAGAGAATGTAACTTTCTATAAAAGTACATCTCAAGTAAGTGCATCTGCCACGATGCATGACTTTATGAAGTGCAGAAAAAGATCCGTGCAGACCCTAAGTTACATTTAAAAATCAGGAGAATTACAACAAATTTATGTATAACAAGAAAAAATAAACCAGATTTCAGTCCTTATTCAATGCATTCTGTCTTGTGCATGCATATCTTTTAAGTAAATCCCAGACATCTCCAGGTTTCAGTTATGTATCTTTATTTCCTTCTTTCCAGAGCTGTTTCAATATGCCATGATAAATATTTGACTAAACCCTCTCTTCCATTCAAGACATGATCCAATTTTCACTCTGCGATCAGCAAATCCTTCTGGGACTACTGGAATTACCCCAAGCACTAATGTAAATGCACTTTTCTTTGCATTTTTTCCTCAGCTTTCATCAAATTCATTTCACATGTGAATTGTTTAAATAATACACTGAATTTCCAGAAGCAGTATTGTCCAGGGTCTTTGTTTTACAGCATCAGATTTAAAGCTAGTCTAATGAATTTTCTATGTGGAGAAAGGGCTCCAAATAAATATGATAGAGTTGCTGCTGCATTCCTTCTTCACATGGATAATTTCATGACTTAGTAATAATGTTTTTCTGCAGTCTATTGTAGTGTATTTTAGGTAGTCTAACTGAATTCATTATAAGGAAACAAACCTCCTGCAGCAGATCCTCTACAGAATGGTTGAATCGATCCACAAATTCATCAATAAGTTGGCTGTGTGCTATGTCAACTCTGTTCTGGATTGTATATTCTTCACTACAGAGTATGCTGTAGGTTTTGCTGCAGGCTTCAAGAACATCCGATTCCACATGCTTTTCCACAACAAACTTAATTTGTTTCAGTAAGGCATCCAGATGCTGTAGATCAGAAAAGAAGTTCAGCTCTTACCTTGTCAAACAATAAATCTCAAAAAAAAAAAAAAAAAAAAGTCAAATATACACCAGATTATATTACTAATATGCCAAATGAAGGCACAGTAGTGTACAACAACAGTGATCAGATACTTGAAAGCTGCCAGCATTATTGCTCCATGTACTATACCTTTTCCATTCTGCCAGTGCTATAGATTTCCAGATCAAAATACTGAGGGATTTGCAGGAGATTTGCAACCTTCTCTGCATCAGCGGAATACTAGAACATCATTGAAACAAAACAAAACAGTGAAGTAAAAACAAACATCTACACCACAAAAGAAAAGTTTAAAGTCAGTTGTAAATACCAGTGAGCAATTTATTTTTGTAGAAAAATATACCTTTGATAGCAACATAGGAAGTGCAATAATGAAATGCTCAGTCAATTTATTTCTGTCGTCTATCTGCGTTTTTCTTTCTTTTGCTGTCAAGACCTGCAGGTGATCAAAGATAACTACAGTAAATACAATATCTGCATATAGCATTCATTAATTTCTCTGAAGTTGATATTTCCAAGAAAAACTCATGTAAGTACATTTTTAATAAATCAAAAGAGGAGGGAAAGACATTCAAAGACATTTGGACTGAAGAGCGATTCAATGGGAGGATCACACATCCTAAGAAACCATAATTGAAAAGGAAAATATCATCCAGCCTCATACTGCTGTTACATATCAACATGTTTTTAGGATTGAACTTTAAATATAACCCAAGGCAGTGGAAGTTTTGCTATTGTTTCCAAATAAATTGAGCTCTAGTTTTCACACATTAAATAACGTGTTAATGAAAAACCTCAGGGTGAACTGAATTATAATTCTAAAAACCAAAATCAAACCACACTGTAACAGTGACTTTCATTAGCAGTTTAACAGCCTCATCTCTAAACTGGAATGTAATTCTCAGTGAGAATCACAGAATCATAGAATCACAAGGTTGGAAACGACCTATAAGATCATCCAGTCCAACCGTTTTCACATCACCACTGCTACCACAAGCACTAAACCAGATCTCACAGCTCCTCGTCCAGATGCCTCTTGAACACTGCCAGGGACGGCGACTCCACCACCTCCCTGGGCAGCCATTGCAGTGCCTGACCACTGTCTGATAGAAAAAGTTCTTCCTCATGTCTAAACACACATCCAAGCTCACAGAATTCATTTACAAATTTCAGTGACATTTACACTGAGGCTACAAATACTATCATAGCAAAACCTCCTTGAAACAATGAACACATAATCATCATCATAGCTTCATAAAAGCTTACAACTGGCCTCTTGGCTTCAGAAAAGAAGCCAATACTTTTGAAAAATACTTTTGAAGTAATAAAATATTTACGTTATCTAAAGACTTATATTTATCCAAGCTGCTAAACTGCACAATCAGGGTTACAAGCTGAAGACAGAGTGAAAACTATTTCACAAGAATGTGAGTGCATGATTAAAAATCCCATTTCAGTTCAGAAAATATGCTAATGAGTCACGAGAACACAACAAACCACTACTGACAAAGAAACTTGCAGTTGCCATCTCAAAACTCATGATCTAAGTGAAAAGTAGGAAAAGCTAGATGTCCATACCTGCACCTCTCTCTGTGTGAGAAGGAACAGCTGGAAACAAAACATGCTTACATGACAGGCAGCCTACTGGATAAGCATCCAAACCAGCCATGGAAACGAAGGGGAACACCTAAACATTTGTCACCAGGGTAAGAAATCACTTCCACAGTACATTGCAGATAGATGGACACGTGTGCCAACAACTGCAGCTCCTGCACAAACTCACAGAGCAGCACCACCCATGGCAGCAAAAGCTGCTAGCTCATCAGAAGGCAATGTAAATGCAGCTAGCAGCTCAGACTTCACCCTATAACAACCCAGTCATATTCTGATGACCTAATATTGCTATCCAGCAGTGCTATTAAGCAAGCTGGATCCCTAAGGATGATCTTGATGCAACTTCGACCATCCTTCAGAAAGTGAAGTTTACTTTGACCTCTGTAAAACTATAGGCAGCAAAAATCTAGGAGTAATCATTTTGCTGAATTTAAGTCAACTAAAATGTAGATCTGAGAAAGAAAAATTACACAGACAGCTTACAGTATCATTATTTACTGCAACAGAGAATACAAATGTGAAAATGTCCTTACATTTAAAGATTATTTGCCTACTGGAATGGCTTAATGTTTTTGCTAATGCAGCAGATGTTTACATACACATGCACATTTGAGTAAGTGCTTTAGCAGACTGCCCTCTCATCTCTGAAATGTTTTAATAAATCAGGAATTTCTTAGAATATTCTTTAGAAAGCAAGGTACAAAAAACATGTTGAAATTGATGGCTTCCTGGAAATTCTCCTGGGATGCTGCTTTAGGACACGAAGCCAATCTATTTCTAGTACATACAAACTAAGAAGCTAAGTAACTGTCTTTAGTTTAGCAATAAGATGTGCTTAGTGTGTCTCTAGATTTCATCTAAAATACGTGTGTCTTTCTTTATTAGTTATGACTATTCGGAAGACAACCTAACAGAAGTACCAAATGTTCACATGGTTTATTTCATTATAGTCTAACTTAAGTAAGAGGAGGACTAAGAAAATCAGACAAATATGTTTGGGAATGCTGTATTTATGGAGAATAAAAATTAAAGCCTATTCATCACCCAGACCTTGTAACTTATGCTGAAATGCTTAGAAGAGCATACCTAGCCTTAGAAATGGAACTCAACTGATGGAGAGCCCTACTCAGTCACTGTACAATAAGTAAAAAAGCTATCTAGACAGGAATATAAACATTATTTCAGATTTAAAAAATTTATGGGCACCCAAGGAAAAAGGTCAAAGTGGATGGATACATAAAATCCCAGAAATATTCAAGCTGGAAGCAACCTTGCAAAGTCTCAGTCCCACCCCTCCTGATCAGAGCAATCAGCTCTATTCATCAAAAGAAAACTCAAATTAAAAAAAAAAAAAAAAGATATTTTCGTAAACAGAATATAGAATCATATAGTGGTTTCAGCTGGAAGGGATCTTTAAGATCATTTAATTCCAACCCCATTGCTATTGGCAGGGATATCTCCCACTACACGAGTTTGCTCGTATCTACTACTTTTCCTCAAAAATGTGCATACAAAAAAAACTGGTTATAAAAATTTCATTTAGAAGTGTCAAAATGGTTTTATAGAAAAGTATTTCATGTTATTATATTAACACAAATAGTTCTGAGCTACCTATTATAGCCCTACTTACTCTTTTGCCAGTGCCTCTGCCAACTGGAGGGTGTGCTTCAGCAGCTTGTCTGATTGTACACACCATCAGCTCAATCAGAGCACTCTCCTGACGGTCAGACATGGCTATGAAGAAAAATTAACAACAAAGATCAGCTTTGATGATTCTGAAAGAAATCTTGAAGACGTCAAATCTGTGAACGCAGTTGTAAAACACAGGAAATAGACAACAAAAGAGACAGTATCATTTTGTTCAGTTTATAAAACCAAGGCTTGCTTGCTCACTCTCAGCGACCTCAAATTGAATATGGCAGAACTGAAGTTAAGTCCAGAGGAAGGCAGCCTGGAAAAATGATGAAGGGGATTACAACAAAGATCTACAAAATTCTGAGTGGCATGGAGGACATTTATAAAATACTCTCACCATCATGAAGAATTAAGTACTTCTGATCACATCTCAAGGGCCAAACACCACTAGACTATACAGAAACCTAAACGAACCAAAGTGCCAGCTCCTTTCCTAAGGAAATCACCATATACATAAAAGGTACACAGGTGTAACAAGGGAATACCAAAAGGTGAGATGTACACAGAAATGACTAGCACACCGTGCAAGGAAGAGTACACTGTTATTTCTGACAACTTAATTGCTGTGAAGGTTTCTGGAAAAGACTCCTGAAACGTTATAAAGATCTTTAATGACATTATCATTAGAAAATCTTTGCTGCCAATCTCCCTGGCTACCTGACAAAGGTGATACATAATTAATTGTGAAAAAATTCCCTCAATTTTTTTTCTTTTAATAATTCAAAAGGGTTTAAAATTGTCTGCAAAAGCCCGATATTTAAAAGTGAAGTTTTTGTTTATTCAGAACTGTTAGTTACTTAATTTACTAAAATGTTCATGTATACACTAGTCATTTAAATGTTCAGACAAGAATCTTAGCCTTTAATATTAAGCAACAACACTACAGCAGACTTCATGAGTTGAAAAATGCAATATAAAACTTCTTTTGAAGCAGAGTGCATTAAAAATGGATTAAAATCTAAGTTGTACTTTCTAAACAAATCACAACGTAAGCACTTCAATCTGCCACAGTGAAACACCTTTTTAAGTCATAACAAACAATAATGTGTGGTATCAGTACAGTAGAGAGGTTAAACAAATACCTTCTTCTCCTTGGACTGGCTCCTCCAACAGCAATTCTGTCATGCATTCCCAATCTTTCAACAGTTCTTGAGAGCTCTCCCACAAGCTGTCCACCAAATAGGCTGCATGTTCATGCAACTACAAAATCAAAAGCACTGGTCAGTACAGTGTTCAGGTACAAGCAGTTGTTCCTCAAACTGTCTCAATCATTATGGCATGGACAGTGTCCACGGGCACAGATTTGTAAATAAGTGGGAAAGAAAATTCAGTTTTAAACTAGTTCTGGAAGGCTTTCATCTGAATGATAGAACTGTATGACAGTGGGGATATGCTTTACTGGAAAATGGATAAAAACAAATAGAGCTTGTCTTTCAGTACAGCAGCTTGTTTATGAAAAAATCTCTGAATTCTGATCTAGAAGACAAATTTCCATTTTCTCACATTCCTACTGTGCTATAAGAAGAGATGGTGAGACAATACCAGGAGGAGGCACTAATACATTCTTTCTGAACAGGCATTTATTTTTCAGTGCAGAACATGGATATAGAAATATTTTTCACTTTAGTATAACATCCAGTATTAGAATGAATGGAACAATAACAAAATGAAAATGTATGCAGTGGTGTTCATATTACAACTAATTGCTGAAACAGGAAAACACAATCATAGAATGAAATCACCAAGATTGGAAAAGACCTCCAAGATCATCTAGTCCAACCATCCACCTATCACTAGTATTTCCCACTAAACCATGTCCCTTAGCACCACATCTAAGGGTTTCTTGAACATGTCCATGGACAGTGACTCCACTACCTCTGTGGACAGCCTGTTCCAGCCTAACTGCTCTCTCAGAGAAGAAGTATTTCCTAACATTCTACCTGAATCTTCTCTGGCACAACTTGAGGCCATTCCCTCTAGTCCTATTGCTAATTACGTGGGAGAAGAGGCCAACCCCCACCTCACAACCTCCTTTCAGGGAGTTTCAGAGAATGATAAGGCCTCCCCTGTGCCTCTTTTCCACACTGACCCCTCACAGCTCTGTTGCCCAGGGCCTCAATGTCTCTCTTACAGTGAGGGGCACAAAACAGAACACAGTACTTAAGGTGTGGCCTCAGCAGTGCTGAGTACAGGGGAGGATCACCTGCCTGTGCTTGCTGGCTGAAATATTTCTTAAACAAGCCAAAATGCCATTGTTATCCTTGGCCACCTGCACACACTGCTGGCTCATGTCTAGCTGAGCAGTGACCAACACCCCCAGGTCATTTCTTTCACACAGTCCCTAAGCCAATCTGCCCCAACCCTGCTGCACTGCCTGTGGTTGTGGCCGAAGTGCAGGACCCAGCTCTTGGTCTGGCTGAACAAGGCTGGTTTAACAACACAGTTCAACCAATACATCGATAACTGAGACAGAACAACTACAATTTTAGGAATATGGTAAATCCAAAATAAGATACTCGATATTTTCTGTTAGCATTACGTTCACTTAAATTTTGAAATAAGCTCTACAATGGCTAATCCTCATCTCTCAGAAACCAGCAGTGGAAATCCTAATGAACTCAGCGGGTATAGAATTAGTGTTAACTTATTTTTAATTCCAAAAATGGCTCTGTGTGTGTGAATAGCCGCAACTGTTCTTAACTGAGAAAGCGATCCATGGACTTCCACTGATTTATAAATCAATCTCTATCCATCATCAAAAAGTAACAAGCATAACATGCAAAGCTGGTTTGTTTGCCAGACATGGGAATGACTGCTATATTGGAGAACATCTAAGAGCTTATGGAAGGTGGTGCCAATACATCTTTGTACTTTTCTGTACGTCATAGAATCTTCTGGTGCTTCTCACAGTGTTACCTTTACTGCCTTCTGAATGCACCCTCTCAGACCGCAGTGCTCAAATCTTCTCATTCTGTGCTGGTGGAAACTCTCAGATTGCTATCTCTTTACTAAAATTGGAGTCGGAATATTCTAATTTGTTGCTAACAACTTTCTCAAAAATAGCAACAGCAAAAGCTAACCCTGAGACCTAATTGGTCTCTGCAAGCAGCATATGGCTTATGTGGGAAAGCACTCTGCTGATCATGACTTTGGGAAGGAAGGTGGCTTTCTTCTCTCCTCAGAAGAATGGAGAAGGTAATTCTAGGCAACTCCCCACCACATGCTCAGATTTAAGGCATGAAGAACACTGAGTATGATAATTCAGCACAGCTGCTCTATCAACAGATACAGCTTCTAACGAGGAACAGGATATGCATAAACAGCAGCCCTGACACCAAAGTCTGAAAGAACATTTTTGTCTAAAGGAAGCAGGCAAGTAAGCCCATTTGCTTATATTGTATCTGCAGAGCAAACGTTCCTCCTCCTGTGACAAGTTATCTCGATGGACATGCTGCCCTTCTCATCACCTAGTGGCCATAGGCATGTCTACTGCCTGTGGCTGTATGACCATCTCACCTAATGACTTTCACCGAATGGTTACATCAGCTAGCAAAACTTCATTTCTCCACAATCAGCTTAGGATTTTCACTAGAAAATAGGATGATCTATCACAATCTACTTCTTGAAAAAGCTATAGGATTCAGCTGTAGAATACATTTAGATAGCAGATCGGAGGTCCACACAGGTAGCAATGTTTCATGCAGTCCTGTTAGCTTTCTAAACAATGTTAACATTAACACTATACCTAAATGTTATCTTTCTTTCAGCATCTGATTGTTTCTTTTCATTCTCACAGTCAAGTCTCTTGTTCAAACCCTAGTAACAATTCAAATACTTGATTTGAATCAAGTACCTTTCCTTCTGCTTTTTATACAAAACGTACATTCTGTTGAGAAACATTTATCATTTCTTTCTTCCAGTCTTCCTTTGCCATCTATTAATTGCTGAATCAAATGTATCATCTTTAAACCTTTCTCCCGCAGTAACTTCAGAGTATCCTGTACCTGTCACTTCATCTTTTCAAGTTTTCTTCCATTCAAATGCTGTTCCTCACCTAAATTACTGTTAGCACTTTTAGAATAATATTTTGTATATATTTGACCTCTACAGACTATGGGCACAATCCAATCCTGAACGTGGTCATTGAACACTTAAGTTATTGTACATATACCTACATTCTCCACCCTCAGCTGTTCTCAAGATGCAGCTGCAGAAAGCCCTGAGCAACGTCACCCAATAACTGTCTCCACTTTGACCTTAATTGTCTCTCAGATCTTTTCCAATCCAAATTACTCTGTAATTCTGGTTATAAATTTTGTTCCAAACAAGAAACATTTCTATGTTGCAATGACACCTAGAAGCGACTGTAATACCAGCAGTGCAGTAATGAGTATTTGGAGACATGCAAGAGCATAATAAAACATGGAAAAGATTTTGGATTGAATTGTTTGACTGCTAGTGAGATGGGGAACAGTGTAAAGAGCATACAGCATTTCAGAGATTAGTAAAAAACAAACAACTTATTAATATATGTTGATACGTCACTATTTAAGTTCCAGTTTCTATTAAATGTGTAAATATTAAAAATATATATATTTTACCTCACTTTCAAGAAAGAAAAGAACCAACATTCTAATGAGGTTTCCATTTGGACTATTTCGTCCTCTCCTCTTTGCTAGAGCCTCTTCAGCTTGGGGATCATGTCTGCTGAACAGCCTAAAAATAAGCAAAAGGAGCTAACGTTTATCAACAAAAATCTCACTGACTTCATAACATGATAACATTCATTCTTGATATAGCAGATTTGTTCATAAAGCACATTGGAAGTATGCTAAGCTGCTTTTTTCAACAGAAAGAGGGCATAAAGAGATGAATTTGTTTTCTGAGTCTTCAAGTTCTTAGGGCTGAAGAAATTTCATACAGGAAAAAGCTCTCTAGAACATCACACTTTTTCTCCCTGCTTGTCTAACAGGTAAGAGATTTCAGCACCTTCTGAGGTGCTTATATCTTAAACATTCACCTCAAGGCCAACTCAGTGATTTTCTGTGTTATTTGCTTTCATTTGCTAACTACGCAGAGAGAAACTATTGACTAGCTTACACTCAGAAAGTTGCATTAAAATGCATAACATTAATCAAGTTAAATCCCACCCCAAATGCTTTAAGTACAGACTCTAAGTCATTTAAAATGGAACACCAGCTCTTAGATGTTAGAAGAAACCAAGAGAAATAAGACATTTTTTCCTCAAGGCTATTTCCTTTCAGACATATCTGTAGAACACAGCATACTATTTCCTTGTAAAGAAAAGTTAGGATGAAGTTTTGTCTTGACACTAACATACACATCTGTCTTCAGAAAAGCCATTTACCCTCCAGGCATTTTACAGAATTATTTTTCACATATTAGTTTATAAAGGAATCTCAGTCTGTAGTTTTAAAAACAAAGCAATACAAGAAACAGTAACCATTTTCTTGTAAAACACTATGTGGGACATTAAATGTAATTTTGTAAATTAATTCCCTGAAACAAAAGCCTCTCCGCAGAGACGGAATTCCAGTAATCCACCAACAGGAGCTTACACTTACAATGTGGATTTCTGAATCACAAATAAACCACTGTTAATTAAAGGAACAATAGCAAAGGAAAACAGATATTTTTTAATTCAACATCATCTGCCACGGCAAGAAAAATTACAAATGCTGGATTTTGGTAGGAACACTCTGTAAGTATATTAAAGAATATAGGAAAAAAGAAAATCACTGCTGAAAGACTTGAGTGCAAACACCAACATCAGAAGGTTAACAGCTATGATGAAGCAATGTCCTGCTCACAGACACCAGCACAGTATGATTCACCCCATGGAAACACTGGCTCATTTCCTTTGGCACAGTGGTTATAGGAAAGATGGAATAAAGGTGTAACATGTTTTTAGGGGATGTCAGTGAGTTTAGAAACAATTTTATTAGTCATTAATACACAGAAAACATTCAAGTTCATGATTTTGAGATAAACTGGTTTAGAATTCTGTAAAAATAATGACTGCATACCAGCTAGATTGTCAGGGCAGGTCAGGTCCTATGCTATCATGACAGTAATACAGTAAGAAGTACAGGATTTAAAATTACTTTTAATACAGAGAGATACATGTAGCATTTCACAGAATCACAGAATGGCC